GGTGTATAAATTTTTTTCTCTTCAAAGTTTTTTTAGCTTCTCCGGCTCTATTTCTTTTTTCATTTATATTTTTATGGTTATAATTTAATTAATAATTTATTTCAACTTTGAAGTTTGTTTTTGAGTTTGTAGAACATTCACATCGTATAAATTAATTTGTTTATGATACAATTGGTAATAATAATTTACTTCAGTAGGAAACAAATCATACACTCTTCAGATCGTTTTCCATCAAAGATTTCAACTAATCTCGGTTTATAATTTCATGAAATCTTTTGAAGAAGAAATTAATGACGCAGACTCAACCACCCTTCAGTTCAGAACATCCGAGAGACTGGAACGACGTATACCACAGTTGGGGTATAAAACTTGCACGGTCGACAATTGTCTGTATTTGGCCGGAGGAAACAAATATAACTACTTTACTACAAAGAAACTTTACACCTACAATTTCGTTACATCAATCTGGACAAAGGTTGATTGAAAAATATTTTTAAAATATTTTTAAAATGTATTTAATACTCGACAAATTTAAAAAATTTTAAATGACTTGAAATGAAAAAAAAATTCAATGGTCATTTAAACTTTCATGCAACAAGTTAGATAAAAATTTTGTTTCAATTCTTGACTATTTTTTAAATTTTAACTATGTTCAGCGTTGCAGTATGAATAATCCAAGATGCAATTTTTATTTTGGTGAAATGGATGGACATTTATATGCTGTTTCTGGAAGCTCGTACAATACATCCATTAGAACAGTTGAAAAATACATCCCTCAAGAAGATAGATGGCTCATGTTGGCGCCTCTGCCAGTTGCAACTTATAGATCGGGAGGTATGATAAAACACGTTTCAGTAAATTATTGGTCAACAGTTTGTTTTTTTTTGTTTAATATCTTTCTGTTAAAATGTTATTTTCACATAAAGAATTTTTTCTTGACGATGCTATTCTTTTCTTACTTGTTGCTTCATTTTATCTAGGGTTGTAGTTCGTAACTTGATCAATAATGGTTTTAACTTTGATGCCCAAATAGTTGCTCGTGCTCCTAACTTTTAACATATATCTCCATATTTTTTTTCTCTTGCACAAACAAAAATTATAAAATAATTATTAAAATTTGCACATCAATTTCCAAGTCTTGATCTAAATTATTTTATAAGTACTTATCGGATATATTAATTAAAATTAAACACCCTGGTTTACGATCGTTTTCTCGTTCTCACTTCTGTTTAACTCTCATTTAAAACTGTTACTCTATATCTGCATAGTTGCCAACCGTCTCGAATTGAGCGAATCATTCCCGAATTTTGCCCCTCATGTTCCTAGTCACGCTTCGTTTGTCTCACTTTTTGCGAAACTAAAACAATTAATGAAATATTGAAATAGAATTCAATAATGAATTTTAAAAAGCTCACGAAAATATACATAAGCGCCGATTTCTTTGATGTTTCTAACACAAATAACATTTTTTAACTTCAGTGCGATGTCAGTGATGATTACGATTTCAACGAAACACATCAGAGAAAAATTTCGGATACCGACATTTTAGTTTAATTGCGATATCGATCATGATTATGATTCTTAATAAAAAAACAAAGGAAAACGCCGACTTTTTAGAGTTTTTAGCGTTCGATAATTTTTGATAACATTGCTCAATATTTTGAACCAAATTCTTGTCGGCATTATTAATTTTATTAACGTTAGAAGGATATACAGTTTTCCAATTCATTCTCGAGTGTATAGGACCTTTTTCAATTTTTTAATCATCTTCAGCACTTGTTGCAGTTTATTTAGAAAACTTGTATAAGTACTTAATTATATAAGTACCGCTTTTAAAAATCAAATGGTTGGCACCTATGAATCTGTGTTTTCTTTTTCTGAACCTTTTATCTGTAAGTATCCACCTCTTCTTCTATCTACGTTCCTTTTACTCAAATCTGTTTGTAAATTTCATTGAAGGGCGCTGTTGAACATCGTGGAATTGGCGCTTCAGAAACTAGTTGAATGATTGATTGATAGAGTAACCATATTAAAATGTATTACTTGACTTTAAAGAATACTTGATGTTAACTAACAAACGTTATTTTTTAACACAGGCTGTACGTGCAACGGCAAAATTTATATAAGTGGCGGAATGAACGAGACTGGCACCTCAAACCAGGTATGGCGGTACGGTCCTGATGTAAACCAATGGACGGAGATGGCTCAATTGCTGAACAAGCGATTAAACCACATTATGATTAGCACGAACAACAAATTGATCGTTATCGGAGGTGTAATACACGACGCCGAGTCATCCACTTGGCCTGATGTGATGGTCGGTATTTTCACTAAAGTATCTAGATGTTTTATGACTTGTTTCTTTGCATAGATATAATTTTTAATGTTACCTTTGTATAAATTATTATTTAAAAATCAACCATTAGTACTTTTAATTGTTTTATATTTTATTTCGAATACATTTTTTTAAATAATTTTAAACCAAATATTTTAATTATTTTAAATCAAAAATCTTCTATAAAGTCAGGAGAGGTATATGATTGCGAAGCTAATCAGTGGACATATTTGCTGACATTGATGAAGCCTGTCTTCAACTTTGCATTTTTCACCATGAACAACTGCCTATACATTATGGGAGAGAATAAATCCTCACACAACTGCTCCATTAATCCCTTCATTCAGAAGATTAACTTGAGCACGTATTTGGAAATAAATAATACGTCTGGAAATACTGTCGGCAATATTAATAACGATGTCAACAAAATTAATCACAACAAAGTTAATCACAACAATAAAGGCGATGGCTGTCAAATTCTCAACTACAACGCTGAAAGATCGCTCATTTATCATGTTTTCGGTACCATGATTTCATCGAAACAATTTTTAAAATGATTTATACGTACTTTCTACATTTATTTATATAATTTTTTTTATCTTTTTGTTGTGAGGATTTTTCTTAAATTTAATAATTGTTATTTTCAAAAGACACTTTGGTTTGTAATTCAGTTTTAATATAACTGTTCATTAAAAACAGTTCCGTGCGTTTAATGAGTGGTGTGTGTGTGGTGTGTAGTGTGTGCGCGCGTGTGTAAACGACAACATGGGATCAAATAATAGTTTATTTTCATTAAATTAAGAAAGTTTTGTCTTCGATTTTTATATACCTGAAAACTATCAAAGCAATTGCATGATCATTGAGTATGACGGAAAAAGTGGGCCCCATCCTAAAAAAGTCAGTAGCTCGTTTTTTCGATTTTGACCAGGTCAATAGTTCCCTATATAAACTTAACCGCACTGATGATAATTCATTCGGAATCGACTTAATATGGCCTTATTTGCAGCATGAATTCGGAAAATAGGTTTATTTTGATTTTTAATAAATTAAACTTTCATCAAAAAACTTTAGTGAGAAAAATCGAAAAAACGAACTACAAACATATTAACACCAAACATTCCGTAGAATTTATAGACTATTGTAAATATATATATATATATATATATTAAAACTTTAATACGACCAAAAAACATACATTATATAATCATCAGTTACCAACAGAACATAGTATCGAAATCCGTATGTTAGCAAAAAATTACCCACTGCTTTGCGTAAAAAAGCACATTGTTAAATTTATTTTTGACAATTTTCATAAAAAGTTCACAGAAGTAAAAACTTCAATGCTGTAAATTTTTTTACTGAATTTTCAAACATGAATTTTATAAGAAAAACTGCCAATGTCATATTGTCAAATTATTCATCAACTGTATTTCTGTAAAGTAAAAAACGTTTTCAGAAGAGAAGTTATCTGAAGTATATTTACTACCACCAATCAAAACTACAACGCACAACCTTCGTCAGCGCAAACATAGCTATCAAGTCGCCACCCAATCAACATATCAGGAAAAGACCTTCATCACAAGGCACCTCAAACAGATTAGCACTTAATAAAACTTTATCGTTACAGAACTAGTTTTTATTTATCGATCACCTCACTAACTCACCAACTAACTCACTTTATCACTCACAGATCTATCTTTAATTTATTGATCACCTCACTAACTCACTAAGCCATCATCTAGTCTATTAATAAGTCATCAAACTAATTGATACTCATTAAAACATTTTCACTCACTGGTCTATCCTTTATTTATCGATCACCTCACTAAGTCATCATCTAGTCTATTAATTTGCCGTTACTTCATTTTATATGCCATTGTCAATTACTTTTCTTTTGTGATTATTATTTATTTTATTCTAACATATTTTATCTTTCATGTTTTATCATTTTTCTTCCTCACTTTTTGTATCTATTTTCTCACTTATTTGTTTAATTTTGTTCTACTGCCTTGCATGTTGTTACAGTTTCTGCGTCTATCAGATCTTGATTTTTTAAAGAATAATAATAAAAATAAATGGTGCCACAACATGACTGTGCTAAAAAAACAGCAGATTTGAACTTAAACAATTTAAAATATGACAATCAGTTGAATGTAAACATAACATTAATTAATTATCTTTTCACACACTATAAAAATTATATTTGGCCTACAGATTCATCAACGGATAATTTTTTATGGTCAACGTTTATTCAAGAAAACATCTCTACATACACATTGACTTCAAAATATTTGCCGTCATATTTCTGCAACTGCCAAATTGTCTCAATAATTAGCACTTTTAATGTAAAGATTTAAAGTTCAAAGCTTGCTAAATACCGCGACCAAAAGTAATTCTAAATATATCTAATTTGCCCATTTCTAGAAATACGAGTCATTTTTGGTCCTAAATTTATTTCTTATCTTTGGACAGCACCAAAGATAATTCAATTTTTTATATTACGCACTCGTTGTAAAAACCTATGTAAATGAGGAAACGCCACGTGTTACAATCTCAATATTTGCTTCAAAATTTTGATCGAACAGTGCGGATACTAGGTTTTATAGTTTTTAAAAACAATCCAATTTTGTGATTTGAAAATGGATTAAAGCTAATCAAAATGGACGAAAGAATTGAAATGGACGTAAAGAAAGCAGACTGTTTTGATGATTTTAGGAAAGTAGTGTTAATTTCAATGACAGGCGGTCGTTACGATGTTGATGGAGGTTTATTATTTCGAGCGAGCAGATATTACGAGGCGCTCGTGAACAGTGGAATGAGAGATGCACACGACGAGGAACTTACATTGGGAGCGTTGTCTGATGAGAGTCTGAATGAAATTCGCGAATTTTTGTCAACATTGCAAAGTTATAAAAATAATTTAGTTTTGCAGCGTACGATGATGAAATCATTGGAAAGCATAAAGGAAGGGTTAATAGGAGCATCGTATTTACAAATTTGTTGCATGAGTGATTTGTACCAAAAATTGATGTTCAACTATTTGAAGGAGTCAACATATGCTGATATTTTAAAGTGGTCATCCGAATGCATGTTGACTGAGGTTTTTAAAAAAGTTCGTGAGTTTGTTTTGGAGAATTTCAGAAATCTAGAATTAAGATCCGACTTATTAACGTTGGCGCCAGATGACGTTTGCTACCTGCTTGAATCGGATTTTTTCAATGCGGAGAGCGAATTTGATATCTTCAATTTTGTTATTCGTTGGATAACTGCTGACAAATCGAGAAAACAACATGCAGAAAAGTTGTTAACTCAAGTGAGGTATAGTTTGATGACAAACAGCGAAAAAAAGAGAAGTAGTGAAATACTTAATGAACATGGACTGAACATCTGCAAAGATGAAATTGTTGTGGATAAGTTTCGCTCAGTTGGAACGATATATGCTCTGGGATCATCTACTCACGGAAGGGTTAGTGTTTTTTTTCTGATTGTTGTGGTATTTCATCTTTTATTTGTTTTATGTAAAATAAAAGCAAATTCAAAAGATTTTTAAGCTAACACTATTTACAAAAATAACACCTTTTTTTGTTCAAAGTTTACTAACTTCTCATCTCAGGTTCTAGTTATTTATATTTTTATTTAATTCATTGAACAATGTCTTTTTTCGTTATTTATTCATTCATAGTTTTGTTCAACTTTAATATTTGCTTTTGAGTACAATGAAGATCCATTTCATAAAAATTAATTTATTTCTTGTATAATATGTGCTAAATAAAGTAAGATTTTATCTAATGAAAAACTAATCACTCCTCAGATGGTTTTCTATCAAGGAGTCCAATCAATCTCGGTTTATAATTTTATGAAATTTTCCGAAAATGAAAACAAGAGCCCAAGATTAGCAACTCTTAAATTTAAAACATCCGAAAGTGTGAAACCACCTATGCCAGAGTTAGGATTTAAAACTTGCATGGTCGACAATTGTTTGTATTTGGCCGGAGGAAGCAGATATAGCTACTTTACTACAAATAATTTCTTTGTTTACAATCCTGCCACGTCAACATTGACAAAGGTTAATTGAAGTTTTCGTTTTGAAAATATTTTTTAAACTCAAAACATTCATAATTTATTCATTGGCAAGTTAAAATGACAAAACATTTGGTGGGCAATTGAAACTTGGACGCATCGAGTTAGATAATATAAATTTTGTTTCATTTAAACGTTTAAAAAGCGATTGAAACAGCATCTGTTTGAACAGGCCTTTGTTGGCCGTGCTGACATTTGTTCATCCGGGCGCCTCTGACGCTACGCAGTATGCATTGCATAGGGGGCGCTCATAAATGACACTATTATTATTTGTTCGTAATTGTTAACGTTTTTTTAATATCTCAACTACATCAAGCGTTGCAGTATGTATGTTCCAAGAGGTGAATTTTATTTTGGTGAATTGGCTGGACAATTATATGCTGTTTCTGGCCGCTGGTTTGGTAAACGAACTGATACAGTGGAAAAATACATCCCCGAGGAAGATAGATGGCTCACGGTGGCGCCTCTGCCAGTTGCAACTTATAGTTCTGGAGGTATGATTAAATAAGTGTTATTAATTTGTCGGTCATCAGATTGTTTTATTAGTAACTTTCTGTTGAAAATGCTCTTTTAACTGTTACATTTTGCTTGAAATTACTTGATTTAAGATTTTCTTTGTGGTAGGGTAACTAAAATAGGTCATTTTTATTACGCCACAGGCTGCACGTGCAACGGCAGCATATATATAAGTGGTGGATTGAACAAATTTGGTTCTTCAAACCAAGTATGGCGATACAGTCCTGATGAAAACCAATGGACGGAAATGGCTCAAATGCTAACTAATCGATCAAAACACATAATGACTAGCATGGACAGAAAAGTGATCGTAATCGGCGGTATCCGTGATTCTGAGTTACCGTCTTGGCATTTTGTTAACGTCGGCATTATTACCTTTGTATCTTGTTGTTTTATAACTTATTTTTTAGTATAAATATTTTTTATGAAAATTTTTCTATCCATTAAAGTTCAAACATTAATACATTTTATTGTTTTATTTATTTGCATAAAATTCAATTTTATAAAATTCAAACCTTAAAATTCGTTTTTTAAAAATTTAATTTTTTTTTTAAAAAGTCAGGAGAGATATATGATTTTGAAGCAAATCAGTGGACATATTTGCTGACATTGAAGAAGCCCGTCTTCGACTCGGCATTCTTCACCATGAACAACAGCCTGTACATTTTAGGAAGAGAACCATTTTCACGCAACGGCTCTATTGATAACTTCATTCAGAAGATAAATTTGAGCAAGTATTTGGAAATGAATAACACGTCTGGAAATGGTGACAGTAATATTAACAATGATGACAAAAAATTTAATGACAACAATAACGTTGATGGCTGTCAAATTTTCAGTTATGAAGCTGACAGATCGCTCATTTATCATTTTGTTGGAATAGTGATTACATCGAAATAATTTTTAAAATGATTTCTACGGCACTGCTACGTATTTTATTTATTTTGTAATTAAGTGTAAGCCGTTTTTTAACACTTTACAATTGACACTTAACCAGGAAAATATTTTTTTTTTATTTAATAAATGATTCATATCATAACGTTAATTTAGTCTAGAATGCCTCGCGTAATGGTTTAAAATTTGACATATAGAGCATGCAGAGGCGTCATTTGGGGGGAGGCAGGGGCCCCAAGAAAAATTATAAAATATTAAAATTATAAATTAGAAAAGTGTTAATTTTAAATTCTTTGTAAAAAGGATATATATAGGATATATAATTTAGTAATTTTAAAACTTTAAAAATTTTAAAATTTAAAAACTTTAAAAATGTAAAATTTATTATAATGTTGCACTGACAAGACTAGGTAGTCGAAATAGTACTATATGCATACATGTAGATAATGACATCTTCTGTAAATAGGAATTTTGTTAATAGCATTAACAAGTTAAGCTTGGTAGATCGGAGAATTATTCGAAGAATCGAGAAACTATCATATAGATTGAGTACTGTAAGAAACGCCGTGATCTTTATTAATAATATATATATATATATATATATATATATATATATATATATATATATATATATATATGTATGTTACATGCTAAGTCATAGACCACATAAGTTCGCCCCCCCAACCAAAATCTGAAATTACGCCCCTGAGAGCATGGCGTTTGCTTGATGTAGTTTATATATTGGTACAACTGTTGCCTCGCGCCAAATTGTTGTAGTATGCTATTTTTCTATATACAACTGCAAATGTGCAAATTTTATTTTTTAATAATTTTTTTAAAATGTCATAAGTCATTTCATCTTGACCCGATGTTGAATTATTGCTGTCAGTTAATTTGTTCATTAATTCGTTCTTTGTACTCTTGAAAAAATCTAAGGTTATTAAGTCGTGGAAATGCTACATCTGGTGCACCATTTATTAATGAGGCAGATCAGTCTCCGAGCTCGCCAATTGGAATGGGTAAAACTATAAAAGAATTATGATTCGTCCATGTGCTGTGATTATGCATTTATAAAGTTGATCGATAGAAATGATCTCGGAGGCCTACATAAATTTGAAATTTTTTTCTTTTTCTCTTTTTATCGCTTAGACCTCTGGATTCAATTAATCTTAAGATAACATTTCTTGAAAACTGAGAGCTTAGTGGTTTGCTACTTTTTGGTCGTCTTCAAAATGTTTATTGATGAAGGTAAGATAGTTAAATTTACGACGTTGCAAATATATTAGCGATGAATCATATCGAAATCGAATCGAACTTTCGATAATCGTACCATATACTGGCGTAGGAATTATAAAATAAAATGCTGTATTTAAAGTGTGTCAGAAATAAGAAAATAGTTTTTTGCATCACGATTTGCTAATTTTCGCTTTAACTTAAAATATGTTACTAGAATTTATGTCTAGTGAAAAAGGAAAAAGAAAATTAATTGACTCAGGTCCCTTGTTCGCAAAAGTTTTCTGGAAATGTGATCAATATCAAAATCTTGTATGTCGGGCACGTTTGCATATACTCATTATAACAAAATTGTAATGAGAGTCGGTGAACATAACCACACAGGAAGTGCTGCATGGGTCAAAGTTGTTAAAGTTGTAAATCAGATGAAAAATTATGCTAGAGAAACCTCAACAAATTATCACCAACACTTTTATTGGCTTTTCTCAAGCAGCATTTAGCCAAATGCCAAATATTTCCACATTCAAAAAGGTTATTCAAAATACCGGGTGTCTTGCTGATCATGCACCACTGAGACCAAATTCCATGATGGGCTTTGTCATCCCTAATAACTATCTAGTTACACACAATGATGATCAATTTCTTGTGTTTGATACCAATGATGGTCTTAACCAAATTCCCATTTTCTCAACTCAGCGAAATATGCAGCTTCTTTCACACTCTGAAAATTGGTAAGTTGATGGAACTCTCAAAACTCTGCCCCACTTGTTTCATCAATTGTTCACTCTTCGAGAACCTGCAACGAATGCGTTATTTTTGCTGTGTTTGTTTTATTGCCATCGAAAACAGAAGAAACATACAATCTGCTATTTCAACAGCTTATAAATTTGCAACGCATTTTAGCTTCAACCTCAATTACATCTGATTTTGAAACAGGCGCTATTAACGCTTTTCACAATGTATTTCCCGAATCACAACAGAAAGGACGCTTTTTTCATTTTGGTCAATGCCTGTGGCGAAACGTTCAAGTAAACGGCCTTCAACATAAGTACAAACATCTTAAATAAATCTCAATTGTAAAAAAAATTGAATTCTTTTGTATAAAAAGCCAAAAAATTGTTTTCATATTTATCAATATGCATTTTATTATTATTCTTATTCTTTATTATTAATAATATAATTATTAATTATGCGCTTTTCGTTAAAGGTATGAAAATGATCCGGAATTCACCCTCAAGATACGAATGATTTCGTCGTTAAGTTTTGCTCAACCAAATGACATTATATCAAATTAATCATTATATCAATAATTCACATTTTGACTCGTTTCAATTAATTTCGACAAATTTTAACTTGAAATCGAGCGTATTTTCAAGCTAATTGCACTTGCTCGGCTCGTGATCGAACCCTCTACGATAAGCTCTACAGGAAACGGTCGGCACTAATATTATGGTTAACTTTTTTGAATTTTATAAACCGAAATGTTTTCCAGACTGCTGCTGTCAAAAGCTTCAATGACAAAATACGTTGTGGGAAGAGGGTTAAACCACCCGCCGACACTTTTTTGAAGAAGCCAAATTGAAATCAGGCTAATTGATCTTTATAAATCTTTATAAAAATAAATAAATAAAAAATCTAATCTAAATTTAATTAAATCTAATAGACAAAAAATAAATTAAATTTTCAAAATCTAATTTAAATCTGTTTTTAATTCAAATTTAATTCAAATCAGTTTTGAAAAATATTCCTGAAAAATGAACGTTGAAACAGCTTTTAAACCTCACCGACGTAATACTTTCTAATAGCAACATAACAGTTTTAAAGTAAACATTGTACAATAAAAATTAAACAAAATAAAAACTTGAAACGATTAAGAGAATATTTTTAATTTTATGAAACTACAACAACGATACCTTTAATTGATAAAAAAATCAATTTCAGTTTAAAAAATCACAAGTTTTTGGAAAAATATAAACAGTGATGTAATAAAAATGATAAAAGTTAATTTTTTTGATACATACAGTGACCAAATAAGAACAAATTGACTTTAAAATAAATATATTAACACAAATTTAAAATAAATAATAAAGAAAAAATTACTGCTATGAAAACTGTTTCAAATGTTACAAGCCCATCACTGCTCTTTATCGCCACGGTCTCCATTTTTACTTCTGTTTCTTCATATCAGTTCATGACTTATTGAAAACGCCGAATCTAAAAATTGTTAGTTGAAAAATAATTATCAATATATCATTCGTTGGCTCATTAGCTGATTGGGCAATAATAGGATTTGATAAAACTAATTGGTTAATAGTTATAATGACTGAGTTTGAATAGTAAGCAAACTTTTGACTATCATTAAATTCGCAATAAATTGAGCAACAATTGAACCTTTTTGTGAAAATAATTTGATTGTTGGCAACAAAATTTTGAATGAATTTCATTTCTGCATTTTTTTAACATATTACATTGATCCACTCGTTAGCGAGGTAATTCATTTTATTCAATTGTTTGTTTATTGCAACGAGGTTGGGTTGCGATGTATTGGAGTGGTGTAAGAGAAAAATTGACTTTAATTCTTAAAACATTTGAGGACTTTCAATATTTTGCTTTTTTATACTTTTAAATCCAGTTTTATATGTAACACTAACAATTGTTGACTCCATAGAATACAAATATGTTTATGATCACCATCGTCCTAGCGTGGTGTCCGTTTAATTTTTAGGATGATTAATGAATTACAGATTGTCATGTCATCATACTTATCACCAAATTCACCGCCATCTTCATCATCTCCTTTGAATTTTCATGATGAACTGGTGCGGTAGGCATCTCGTCAATAATCATTGTCATCGTCATCTTCATTGTCATCGTCATCTTCTTCGTGACATTCATTACGTTACAGTGCACCACGTTGCCTGCTCTGAGTCGTGTGATGTTTGGATTGACGGACAATCTATCGCCACCAATCTCCAATACAAACAGCTCAAAATAAACGGAAAAGTTTATATTCAAATTTTTATTTTCAATTTAGTGAATGATTATATATAGTTTAGTCAATTATTTAAAAATTTATTATTAAAATCTCATATCATTTAATTATTCAACAAATAAATAATGTCTACTATATTATGAGAGTGTGTTTTCTCAATGTGAAAATCAAAATTTATTTTTTTTTAAATAAGAATGAATGTATAACATGCAATAAAAAATATTTTTTTAACAAAAAACGCAACTGCGTGTACGCTTGAATCAATCAACGTATCGCACGCATTGCGAAAACCTCTGCCTTCAAACCAGGTCGAGAAGCAGCAATTCCTGGCTCCTCAACTACGACATCATCACATCGCTGTCGCACTTTGTGGCAGAAAGTAATTGAAATCAACGTGATTTCATTTCTATTGTCAGCCACATACAGCTTCTGTGCTTTTGAGATTAATGACAATGTTAATAAATGTCATGATTATCTTTTCGAAATGTTAGTGCATCAGAGACTAAATCTCCTTCCATCTTCCAGATCGTAGCCATACACATAAAAGCGCCGAAAAAAGCAGGCGGCTTCAGCATTCACAGTTACGATCTGAACATCAAAGCCATTGGCAACACTGTCGACAACGTTGAAAGGAAGAAGAAGAAATCTGGAGGATCGAGACCCATAGACAAACCCCTGAATACGACTTCATCTAGTAAAAATAGTTCACGGGACAAAAGGGAAGTTAAAAATTTAGAACTAACTTCTGAAGAGCTGATATATTTTTCAAGTGAACGTGAAAAAAGTGAAAGATTTATAGATCAAGAAAGTAACATTTCGATTGACAAAACGCTAGACGCAGAATTTATCAACGTTTTTATGCAAGCTGCTAGTCAGAATATAATTGCGCAAAATAAGCTGTATAATAATTTATCTAATGAAGCGCTAAAAATTGGTTAAAAAAATCTAGTCAGAACTACACTGAAAACTGTGAAAAAAGTAGAAAGGAGACAAACCTGATAATATTCTTTTTAGAAAGTCTACTTTTGATGCGCGTACTAAAAGGAAAGAGAGTTATTCAAGTAATTCCATTGATTTGGTTAAACATTCCATTAATCAAAAAAAGAGTCGTTTCAAAAGACAGGCTCAACCAATCACAATCGAGCAAACAACAATTTATGAGACGAAAATTGGGAGGTGGCGATGTCTAGCCGCTGGAGCCGCGCCCACAAATTGGATAAATCCAAAATTTGATGACAAACATTGGCCTCTTGCTACGTCAGTTAATACAACACCATTTTTTATATCTAAAATTTATTTTTGTTGCAATTTTAAAATTTATTCAGGTACAAAAGCAAATATTTTAAAAATCATTTCATTGACATATTAATTCTAGGCCTGGGCTTTTACCGAGAAACCTAATAATCAAGAAAAAAGTAGAATTGCCGAGAGCACTTACTGTCGTTTGAACAGTTCGTACATGCCTACTTTAGATTAGTTCAAAAAATGTTTTTGGTTTATACACCCCTTTTTCGATTGTGCTAATGCGCACGTGTCTTTAAAAAATTTACATGAAATTTTAAATAAGTGAGGATATAAACGCAAAGGATTTTATGCTATTGATTAACATATTAATACTCTAAAATTTAGTTACAAACAATTTCTTATATTATCTAGCGGTAAATAAGGTAAGAATCAGCTTTGTGGAATTTGAGCCGAAAATAAGAAACAAACCTCGGCTTCCCGATACAAAAGTCTGGATAGGTTTGGCCATTGTTTTATCTGCAACTATGATGATACTGGCTGGATTCTTTAGACGAGGTTAATCTTAATGACGGTTCAGTTTTTTTGTTACGTAAATGGTTCATGAAACATTTAAAGATTAATTGAAAATATTTTTTTTGATTTTAACAGAATTTTACGACACATTCATCAACAAAAAAATTGAAATTATTGAATAAAAAAAAACAAGAACTTTGATAGTAATTCATTAAAAATTACGTTACAAAATTGTCAAAACAATGCTCCATAAAATTTCAAATGATAGATGCTGCTATGTTGAAACACCATCAAGACCACAAGGATTTTGCTGTCATTCAACAATTAAAAACTTTAAAGATAAAGAATGTTTTCAACCATCTTGTCATCAAAAGGTCACAAATTTCAATTGTGGTTATTGCAACCAGAATAGTCAGGATTATGATTGTGACAACAGTTGCAATGTTGACCCATGCAACGACTGCTGTAGGATTTGTAAAATAAACATCCCATTGCATTGCAACCCACCACAGCGCGAAAAAATTAAAGTGAATTGTTTCAACATACCTATTGAAATATGTACACCTCGAAAAGAAAATAGTTGCCAAGTTATTCAACAGCCGAAATCGCACGTCTGTCCGAAACCATGCACACCTTGTTCGCCTGTAAATTTATGGTTTCCTTTGTGTTGTAAAGTGGCTGACTGTGATGACGATTGTAAAGATTGTTTCTATGTATGCCTTGGGAATCCTTGCATTTCGCAACTTGAAGTGCCGTGCCCTCAAGAAGCACCTAGCTTGAATTCATCTTCTATCGTTGGCAAACCTTCCTATCTCACTTGCATTCCAAATGTTACTAAGTGCTCTTGTCAACCTTGTTTAGAAACAAGTTCATCACAAAGCCCAACTGTTACATGTTTACCATCGAATGCCACAAACTGTTATCAATTTTGTTTGGAAACGAACCTGTCACCAAGCCAACCTCTAGAATTGGGCCGGTTATTTCCTCATCAACCAGAAAATTTTACTAGCGGCAGAAGATTTAGATGCTGCGAAAGTTTGTTACCTCCAACAGGTTCCAACAACTGTAGCAGTCGACCTTTGGAATTTTATAGACCATGGGCTAACGAAGACCCTGCTAAAATATGCAGGCTGTCGTCTCGATGCTCTGCAGAAAGTAACAATAGTAGGCCAAGAAAAGAACAGAAATCTAGGAGCTCAAAATCTTCGCCAGATAAAAAAAATTCTAAAGCTTCAAAAGGTAATTTGAAAACTTGTTAACTGATTTTAGTATTACATAAATTTTGTGTGAAACTGTCAGTAGCGACTAATAATTGTTGTTATTACGAGTGAATTATTTTATTTGCTTTTATAACTTATATATAAAAACAGAAAGTTATTAATTTTCATTATATAATTAACTTTATTCACTAGCAAATAAAGTTATCAACACAAGAAAATTTTTGATATACCGTTGCATCTATTATACCATTTTAGGCAATGAAAATATCAATAATTAACACAAAACAGTGTCAGGGATGATAAATAAATGTTCTGGAAAATTTTGGGATTTAAATTTTTAAGTTCTATTACTATGCTTCTATTCTTATTACTTCTATTATATATTTTTTTTCAAACTAGTGATTTCTTACTAATAATTCTACAATATCATAATAACGTATAATATAAATAATATTACCTACAATATAATTTTACTGTAAAATAATTTTTAAAGACCATGGTCAGTCCAAAAATAACACATAAATTTATTATAAAAATAATTTTGATTTTAATAAAATATTTTATAATAAAAAATCTAAGATATTCAAAAATTTCAAATATTATTAATATAATTGTATTAATTGTTCACCGAAAAAAACATTCGATTTTTAGCAGAGTCTTCAGGTAAACAATTTAAAATAAATCTATAGATGGGATTTATAATATGGAAGTGCCGTTTAAGAATAACTATTGAAAATTATTTGATCATTAACATTTTACCGACTGAGATAACTTGCCCCCATATTTATGATGATTTATATTTTTTTAATTTTTCATTAATTTTGATTTTAATAAACTTTTTTAATATAAAAAATCTAACTTTGTTAGAATAAGTTTAAATAATATATTATATAAAGTTAATATATTGTTGGCTGAAAAAACAAACATTCGATTTCTTGCAGAGTCTTCAGGTGAACAATTGTGATAATTTCCTCGACGGGATTGTTGAATGTGTAATTTAACAAAATGATAAGAGAACATTATCTGATTAACACTATTATAAACGATTAATAACACAGTTTTAATATCTGCTTCTATATTAACTCAGGCTCAAATGTTTGTAATATTGTAATTAATAATTGTTAACATATAAAAAACTGCATTTAAATGGAGAGCAGAAGCTGGCTAAATGAGCCACTAATTGTTTCAACTACTAGTTTAGCAGACTAGCCATTTGTTACAAAGAACAATCCAGAATTAATAACTTTAATTTATTTCGCTTAATCGAGCAAAAACGTTCAACAGAGCCGCTATATGTCATTCGTTATGAACTTATTCTTAATAAACTGTATGAACTTTTTTTATGTTATTTTTTATTAATTTATTCTCTTAATTGTTTTTCAACATTGTATATTTTTTTAATAATTATTATCCTGCCACACGTCAACAGGGTCCGCCCCCGCTAAAGGTTATAAAGGGCTGTTATGATTAATAAATATCCTATCATCTTAATTTTTCTGTAAATTTCATAAAAAATCTAATTTTAAATTTTGTTTTAATTTTTATAAAAAATAATATAATACTTCAACTACTTTTATTAAATTATTTTCTATTTACTTCCTTAGGAGAAAAAAGTAAAAATAAAACAATTTTTCACATATCTTGCTAAAAGTGTTTGGTTGCTGGCTGAATATGATGATGAACGTTATCAATGTTAGAGCTCTGGTAACGAAGCAGATTTGTGGAAATAGTTTAGTTAAGTCTAAGTGTATGAGTGCAGTGGTGCATCCAGGATATCAGGATGGAGAGAATGATTTCAAAATTGGGAATCCGATCCCCTATTTGGTTAATTCTCATAATTCCCGTTTGTTTCAAAGTTGATCGTTAAATATTTCTGTTTAACTATCAACCTCAGTTAGCAACGCCATCAACTACCCTGAGCAAAATTAAAAAAATTAACTAAATAATATTCTTTATAATGAACATTTGAAAATTTAAGTTTATATAATTTTTTAATTTAACGATATTCTTGGTTTTAAGTTCATCAAAAAAATTTACTTCTTCAAAAGCGCTTGAATATTAAATTAGAAGTTTTCCAATGAAAATGCATCTATTTCTTTTTATTGGTTCCATATTTCCTTCGAAATGACTGTAGTGAAGTTGACTTTCAGAAATTGAAAAACTTACATAAAATTTTGTTATATTTGTAAGTGCACGAACAGTTGTTTTTAGCACAGTTCATATAACCGTTTCAAACAACGTTGGATACCTGCCTTTTTAGAAATTACAAAAAACACTACATCTAAAAATACATCTTGAAGTGGATCGGAAATAAATCTACTAAACGTTCATAATATTTGAGGTTAAAAATATATCATATATTGTTTTTTTCATTTTTTCACAGAAAAATCTTCCATCAATAAAGGTTTCTATGCTTATGTAAAAGTAGTAGTAGTAGAAGTAATATTTATAATAGTTGTGGGGGTATTATTTTTATTAATTTTAGTAGTTGTAGTATAGTATTAGTGGTAGTAGTTTTTGTAGTAGTAGTAGCAGTGGTAATAGTAGTTGTGGTAGTAGTAGTCGTATTAATGGTCACTGGAAGTTGATGAGAACTTTACCTACCTTGGGTTGGCTATTTCCGATGCTCTGTCTGCAGATTGTGAAGTCAACTGCAGGATTACCAGGGCGGCCAAAGTAATGGCTAGGCTAAATTAGCGAGTATGGAACAACCCCAGTCCAACAGTGAAGACCAGGCTTGACTCTAGGTTGATTACATAAACTGTCTCTACGAGACATAAGAGAAAACTTAACAGCTTCCACATGAGATGCTTGCTTCGCATGCTAGGAATTAGATGGCGGGACATAGCTACAAACACCGATGTGCTGAAGCGAACTGGCAAAAGCAGTTTTTATGTGGTTTTCACTGATAGGCGTCTCAGATGGCTCGACCATGTTTGGAGGATAGATAACCGTCGGATCTCGTGTACGGTAAATTGGTCAAGGAATCTAGAACAACAGGGCGCCCAAGACTTTGGTTTCATGCCATTTGTAAGAGAGACATTAAAAGCTGCCATTTCGATTTCTGATCTTGGGGAGCTTAGCAGTTGATCTGCGGTCATGATGTCAGTCAAGCAGGGTGCATTGCATGCGTAGTTAGAGCGGAACTGGAATGCTGTCCAACAGCCGACGGCCTCTATCTGTGCCGGATGTGGTAGAGATTATCATACAAAATTTGGTCTGCTGTGCCATTCTTGCCGGTGCAGGATCCACTAACTTTGATTATAACTTCATCATGGTCTTTCAAGACGGATGGATGCCGACGAGCAGTAGTAGTTTTATCAATGATAGCACTAGACGTTTTAGCATTAGTTTTGGTATTAATAGAATGATTAAAAATAATAAATTAACAAAATTCCTCTTTAGAAGTATAATGTTGAATCAACTAGACAAAACATTCACAGCATACGACATCTATAAATAATAATAATTAATTGATAATTATTAAGTAATCAATTTACCATTTTTCACTGTTTAACGCTCAATGAAAATATAATATTCATCTAAAATATTTCATGCAAAGGGGCTGCCGACACTATTTTTTAAATTGTTTATTTTCCATTGTTAGCATTTTTTAGCACAGCTCATATAACCGTCGTTTCAATCAACGTTGGATATCTGCTTTGTTAGAAAATTCAAAAGTTTACATGATCTAGAAGTAGATTAAAAATAAATCTACTTACTACACGTTCATAATATTTGAGGGTAAAATAATATTTTATCCTGTTTTTCATTTTTTCACAGATAAATCAGAAGGTTTCTATATTTATATAAATGTAGAAGTAGTAAAAGTAATATTATTAAAAGTTGTGGTGTATAAATATTAATAATTTAATGATAATTATTAATTAATCAATTTACCATTTTTCATCATTCAACGCTCAATGAAAATATAATATTCATCTGAAATATTTCATGCAAAGGGGCTGCCGAGAGTATTTTTTAAATTATTTTATTTTCCATTGTTAATATTTTTTCATAATTACGATAATAATGTTAATATTGAACATTATAAAAGTTATTTGAAATAGTTTACACTTCAAGGAACATGTCATCTTCAGTTGTATAATAATATAAAATAGTTCTAAACGCGGATCCGACCGTCTAAGTTTGGATGAGTGAGATGGAATTAAGGATAGTAATATAACAATCAGTGTTGCAATGCATTGTAAGGTGTTGTGCCTGCGATATTTTGGTCACGTTCTGTCTGTGTTTTGCCAACACGCGCACTTGCACACACGCGCACACACACAAACAGACACACATGAAGACATGTGAATTTACGCATCTAACACTTTTGCATATGATAGATTGGTGTCTCAACAAGTTTGAATCTGGCCGCTAACACTAAGAAAACATTTTTTAATTTTAACTCATCTCTACATCTCGATTGTCATTTGAACACAAATTCAAATCTACTCTACATCACAATTTAAACAATTTCTTCGAAGCGATTTTATATTTTTATTCACACAATACAATTGCGTAATACATTTTTGTTAAAAATTGTGAACATTTCAATTTCTCCAGAAAAATCTTCATCCAAACGTTAATATATTTGTTTCAATCGGATCAGATAGATTTTCAACCCCATACAACAATTGATATTAATTAGACATTTTATAATATTATTTGCAAATTTTTACATGTGAGCAACGTTTTTGAAAACATTTCTTTAGTGCGAAGTAGCCAGATTAATTCACTATTGAAGAACAATTATTTATTTCTCATATAAATACGTATTAAAAATATTTTAACCGATTATTTTGCTTGAATCTTTGAAATTTTATATTATCAAAACGATTTTATTGAACTTTTTTTAAATCTTTCTGAAATGCCTCATTTTTATACAACAGCAGCCAAAAGTTAGTTATTTTTTTGGAAAAAAAATGAAAAACTTAAAAAAATAGCCGAAAAGAAAATTTAATTACAAAAAAAAGAAGTTAAATAAAAATAATAATTAAAGTAATTCAAGACGACATAAATAACGATTAGCTAAAAATTCAGGGTGCGAAATAATTTCAAAAAGTATGAACGCTGATATGCGAAGCTTACTTTCAGAGCGGTGGAGTTTGCGTGTGAGAGGATTATCACACGGCATCACAGCACATCATTAACACATCACACCATCAAAACATTTACTTAACAAATCACCAACACAACCCCGACCAAAAAGCAACACATAATTACATCACATTCTAACATCATCACACCACAATTATCAACATGTTATCAGCACAATAAAACATTATCGCATTATTACATTACAGCACATACGTAACATTACATTACAACACATTAAAACCCTTAAAAACATTAGAGTCCAACATTTCAAGCACATCATCACAACATACACTGGATCCGTCTTAAACTTGTTCTTGTCTAGTATAAAAAAGATAATATCACGTTTAATTCAATTCAGTTATTTGTCAAGATAAACAAATTTTCAGTTTGCTACCATAAATATATTTTCAATTTATCATCATAAATGAATTTCTATTTCATTCACATCAATCTCTGAAATAAATTTTCAAAAACTTTTTATTTGCAACTAGAAAAACCAGAAAAATCCGCCAAGAGTAATTAATAATGACGTTTCATTTAAATAAATTCGGTTTAATTTGAAAAAAAAATGTCATCAATATCATCAAAAGTTATTGCACTCATTGTATTCCAAGTTGGGATTGCCTTGTGCCATCTTTCCAATTGTATGCTCCAATTGGAAGCAAGAGAAGAAATGACGTCATGCATCCATTGTATTTGACGCAGGGATCGTTATGAGCGTAAAAAACGGCGTAATGACGTAACTTCTTCCGGGTCAACGCTTAGGGGGAAAGCCTGATTGCACTTCCTGTGTGCGGCTCAATGTTTTGTAACTCAGGCCATTTTCGGCTTCTGTCAGAGTTTGATTTTTGAGAGAATGTAGAATTAACCAAAATAGATTTTATTAGATGAATCGTTCTATGTTTCGAATATTCCATGAAGAATAATTTTGTTATATATTTCTGCTGCAGAGCCTACTAAAGGTTAAAAAAATAATATTGAAAAGATGATATTAGTAACAAAGACGGTTAAATTACAGAAATTAATTGATTATGCTGTAAGCGATAATCGAATGAAAAGTAGCATCATTAATATATAACCTGTATATTTGACTATATATAAATATATACAATAGGTGTGTATGTGTCTTTGTCGGTGTGTATGTGTGTGTGTGTATATATATGTGTGTGTGCGTGTGGTTGTGGCGTTTGTTACAAAATATTTACTCCAAATGTCATTGACATAAACAAATATTGACGAACAGGGAAAACAAAGAAGAAATAAAGAAGGCACAGAGTTAACGATGTCGGATGATGATGATGTTGATGATTATATTTATAATGACGACGATGATCAGAATGATAATGATGATGATGGTGAGAACAGCAATGATGTTGATTAGAATCATCATGATGCAAATTACTGTGATAATTATGATGATGATATTTATGATGACGACGATGATTTGGAAAATGGTGACGAAGCGAATGAAAATGATTTTAAAACAACGACGGTGTTGGTGGTGGGTGGTGGGATGATGACAGCGATGGTGACATGAGTGTGAATTTGGTAATCGTTTTCATGGGGTGGTGCTTCGTGACAAATGAAATTCGATTGATCGATCAAACATGTCTTGTGTTTTTCATCAGCCGAGATTTTTTATGATTAAAACTTTTATGCCACATAAATTGAAACAAATTTAATTTATTGAGCTCGAGAGATGGTAGACTGGAAATTTAATTTAATGCACCAAAATAGGTTTCAAGAAATCGTTGCGGTTTTAAGATTTGATGGTGCGGAATCGTAGGACTCCCGATAATTCACAAACCTGTGACTGATGTGTTTAAATGGAGGAAGTTTAGTTAGCGAGATAATCACAAGTTGTTGAGGAAGAGCTGGCACTTTTCAAGAACCTTACGAGCAGTATAATCTATCTTGACCTGTTAAACGGTTGAGTTTTTGGTTCTGTGTGCTGCTAGCATTTTCAATGATGTTTCAAAAAAAGAATTTGTATAAATAAAGGAAAGAAAGTGAATGGGAAATAATCAAACGCACAGAGTTGTCGGTGTAGTTAAAAGTTTGGGAGGACCAGGAAGAATTTTTCCAATCAAAAAAACATTCAAGTAAAAAAATTCATTTATGATCAAATAACAAGACAGACAATTAAATCTTGCGATGTTCATGCAAAATGTAAAATAATGTCTTGGGCAATATCAACTAAAAACAAACTCATACATATAAAATTGTATTGAGATTGAAAAAACAAAGGCAAAGAACCAGATGAGTTAGACTTTCCGGATTTTATGGAAAAATTACAATTCGTAGTTTCTTCCATAAATTTTTTGTATTGAGCTTTTTTAATGCAGTAAAATACCAATGATATAACGTCAAAAATCTCTCTAGTTCCAACACCAATGTTATAGCTGCCAACGATCGTCGAATTACTTACTTCAATATTATTTCACATAATTCACGATGTAAAATCAAATGTTTTCTGCTGGTACAATTACTGCGAAATCCCATGAAACGTTCACTCATGAATGCTAAACTATTCAATTAATCATCAACACAGTAGAAACAGGTAGAAAATTTTAACTCAACAATGGATCAATATGGTATTTTGATATTACTGCTCGTATATTTTACTTTTGAAATATGTCTCATGCACAGCTTTGAAATAAATTTTTAGGAGTGCAATGATTGTTACCACAATGGAAGCCCCTAGGTGGTTTGGGATGATTTGTTTGCAGAAATATAAAATTTAACGGGGTACCTATACAAAATTATTTCAACCTCTTTCATAACCGTAATATTTGGCAAATTTTCAAATAAAAACACTCGTCATAACACACAATTTGTGAAAGAAACTGAATAAGCTAAAAATTGGCTTATTGCATTTCAAATCAACTTTTTAAAGGCAAACATTTTTGTTGAAACAAGAGTATTTATTTGAAATAATAGGACGTTTTAGACTGCATGTCATGAAATTTTTTTGAAATTTAATTTTTGAAAAATATATATTTGACTATATATTTGACTAAACCAATTTTTCAGATAATTTTTATGAAAAAAGTGTTAAATATAGAAATTATAGCAGTTATTGAAATTGTTGGGGCAGTTTGCACTCATTTGTTAAATTCTCTCTTAAAATAGAGCGTAGGTAATATAAATACGCTTAAAACAACGCATCACAAACATCCTACAGCCGACAGACATAAATCAATTCGAGCCCATTCACTCCGGTACCAAGACCAGATGTCTCAACCAGTGCACCGTCTCAACGTCCCATTATGAATTCGGTTATATTTTGAGTGGTGCATCAGCATTGCTATACAATTTAAATTATTCCAATAAATAATAATTTTATTAAAACAGACCAATAAATGGAAATTTGTTTTAATTTTTGAAACAATTAGTCAAAGATAAAGGTAATGTACAAATAAACGTCAGTTTCAAGTTTTAAAAAATTTAATCACGTTTCATTGGCAACGTTCCAGTTAGGCATACTGAACCTCATAGAAACTCCAGTCGGGGCTGGGAGTCAAGTAGCTCTGGTTGTACCCGTTAACATGTTTGTTCAACTCGCATGTTGCATCAGTTGAATGGAAGTTGAACGAGTCACACTTGCCTGGAAGACACTTCAACAAGCACATCATCTCATATTCGGCGGTCACGGCGAGAGAGTAGTTTCCAGTCAATCTCGTGTTGGATTTACGTTTCCAAATTTTAGCTGCAAAAATAATGATTCGATAGAAATGAATGTACAAAAAGAAATTGAAATGAATGTAACATTTGTGATCCTTAGCAGCGTAAACTTCCATCTCACAAGAGGAGAACCATCCATATCCATCGGCAGGTTGTTGAGCGATGACGTAACGATAAGGTGCAAGATTGGCGTTACACTTCAATGTCAGCCTGGCACTGGCGACCGCCTTGTACTTGTACTGACCACAGAGAGGGTAGGTCCCTCTGATGATGTTTGATCCAGGCGATGAGGAGGTCAGTCCAATCAGGAATTAGTCCAGTGCTGGAGCTGAAATTGAAATAATACATTGTTTAACAACTACAGATATTAAATTTAAGCAGGTCCAAAATTATTTAAATTTTCCATATTTCAAAATCAGGCAAATGTCTGTTGTGATGAAATAAGGAAAATTTTGTCAGATCAAATAACATAGCATTAAGCATAATACCGCATGTTTGAAGAATTAGGCTGGAAAAATCGTTACCATCCATCGAACGAATGTAAAAACAGGAATCTTTACTTGTCAAAAAGAGAAATTAATATGCAAAATACTAGCTACTAATCAGATGACGAAGAAGAAATTTTGAAAATTGAAATTGACAAGAAGAGAGATGACAAAAGTCGTCAAGAATACGAATTTAAAGGTCTACGTCCAGAATAGGAGTAAACTCAATCAAAGAAAAATGGACAAAATAGGAGTTGGCCCGTTTAAAATTTTTAGAAAGATGTTATTGTTAATTTTTGACGTAAACTTTGGAAAGAAGAAGAAAGAATCAAACTTTTTTCACATTAATAAATTGTCACTTTATGTACCTGAAAAAGTGACTCGAAAACGGAGATGTAAATTATTTCATATAATTATCTATGTTACAGTACTTCTTGAATTTTTCCTTTAGATAAATAAATCAGGTTCTTGAAAGCAAACTTATAAACGTGTTTTGTTCTTTATTATGCAAGTAATTTTAAACTAATTTGAAGTAAATAATACAAAACAAAATTGTCATTTTTAGTACATTTTTGAAATGATCTAAAAAAATATTTCCCTTTAAATGAAAAAACCACGAAACAAACTAACTGAACGAATCCCTCGTGAACATGTAAACGACGTCTACGTAATAGTCGGCAGCAAGGTCGACCTCTGCCCAGTTAGGTCCGCCCGGTGGATCCGCCCCATTGTAACAATGGCCAGCAAAGAAATCAGGATTCGTGTCTCCATCAACCATCAATCCGACTACCGGGCGGACATAATGTATGTAAAGTGAACTATTGGTTGCAGGTTTGTTGAGAGCCAAGTTTTGCGCTTCATTAAACTCATAACAGGCTGAAACATTAACTTCGTTTGATGTTTATTTATCAATAAAATAATTCAGCACCCATTAACTTTACCAATGGAAAAAAACATGAGCCACCAAGGACAATATTTTGACATTTCTAAAGATTACTAATATTCAAATAATCACCAAAAATGGTTCTTCAATTATATGCACTTTTTTAATCTTTGCTCGACACATTCAGCGTTCACCACAGTACACGTGTAGCGACTTGATAGACTCGCTGATGGATCCTATTGTTGCAAATTGTAGGTATTATTATATATCGCACATCACAATCACAATACATGTATGGTATATGTATGCATACACATCACACATACAAATTGTAGGTATTATTTCATGACACATCACACATACAATTCATCCTTCTAGCTAGTATGGTTAAGCTTACCCATGTGTCATATATTTTATGTTATAAGTTAATAGAAAGCATAGCTTGAGAATAGGTAACGTAGAATGGCTTGGAACGAACTAAGCAGAGGAGGAAAGGAAAGAGAATTGGAAGAAACGGTGGAATATTTATTAATAGTATTGATAGTATTTACCCAACCAAAACATGAATTTTCTTGTTACTCGTTCTCTTATTGATTTCAAACATACAATAAAGATGAAAACAGCCAAAGATACGTGTATTTTATTATTTTATAATCTATCAGTCGAATATAACACAAGAAAATTATGTTTTTAAAGTAATCATAATTATAGATAATAATTATATTTGTTATTATATAAGAATAGATGGTAACGTAATTAGTAACTTGAAAAAAAGCATGCTTAGATGTACACCATCTGCTTCGACAGATTGATTGATTAATTTGTAACTACAATTTTTGCGGTACGATTCGATTTTGGTTGCCTTCATTGTCGCATATTCTCTTATTGTCTCCATTTTGCTATATATGTACGTATGTGTGTATGTGTCTGTAAACTCTTATATATTTGTTTAATGGTAGAGTATAATTATGTTTATTTTGATTTAAACATTCATTGAGAATAAAAAAGTTTATGATTATAAATTAAACAGTAAATAAAATAAATAATGGAAAAATAGCAATAATTAAATTATTTGTCCTCTTCACGCCGAGTTAATTCATTCCAAATCATTCACTCGTTTATTTTAAGTTGTGTAAGAACTATTCATGTCTCAGTTGGTCTCTGCGAACTTCTTTCGAAGATTTTTTTTTGTTTGTAACTGCGTTGTTGTAGAGGCGGTTAGACAAGAGTTTCACTTTAATGCGACGAATTTATATTTGTAAAAATAACAACAATTACAGTAAAATAAGTTCATGGTAAAAAAAGATTGTCACATTTATTTTAATTTCAATATAATTTTTCTGATATAAATTAATCAACCTATGATTTTTAAATTTCATAAATTTTCTCACTATAATTTATTATAAAAAAAATATTAAATCATTCTAATTTAAAAAAGTTTTAAAAATTTATTCCTATTGTTCATTAAAAAAAATTAGAAATTATTCGGCAGCGGCCCCTAACTGAAACAGTCGTACCATTTTTTTTCTCCCGTTGCATTTGACGCTGTGAGTTAAATGGAGAATGTTTTAGTAACGTTTGCGTCATCCAGTGGCGGGTCTAGGGGGCCCGAGAGGGCACTGGCCCCCCGTTGTGAGTAGTTTTTTTAAAAAGTTAGAATAAAGACCTTTTTAGTTAGAAAATCGTCCAAAAAATGGACGTCATAATCCAAAAAATAAGGTCAGTCACACTATCACAAATTTTCCATCCCGTGAAAATTTTGGCCCCCGGTAAAAATTTGAAAATTTTCAAAAGTTTGGCTTCTCTCGTCAAAGTTGTCTGGATCCGCCACTGACGTCATCAACAGTGTCATCGTCGTCGTCATGAATTTTCATCGTCGTCGAGCTCCCCGCTCAGCACATGCGAAGTGTGACGCGTGCATTCACGCTTATGCACACGTGCTGTGTGTGTGTGTGTGTTGTTGAAAAAATATTTAAAAAAATTAAAAAAATTAAGAAACATTAAGTAATGACAAAGATCATCAATAACAACCGCCTTCAGTTTCTGCGGTGGCTTGAGCTTCAGCTGCTGGCTCCTCACTCGGAGCTTCTGTAAATGACGATTCAATGTTAATATGTTTTCTTTTGTTACTATTAGTAGGTATTATTATTATTATTATATAGTTGTAGCAGTAGTATGCGTGCTATTGAGGTAGTAGTAACAGTAGTAGTATTAGAAGTAGTAGTAGTAGTAGTAGTAGTAGTAGTAGTAGTAGTAGTAGTAGTAGTAGTAGTAGTAGTAGTAGTAGTAGTAGTAGTAGTAGTACTAGTAGTAGTAGTAGTAGTAGTAGTAGTAATAGAAGAAGAAAAATAAATTATGAACATAAATTTTCATAAGACAAAAAATTTTAATCTACTAAAAACTAATTAATTTAATAAATATTTAAAAAAGGCATCAATGCATGATTAACCGCTGGTTCCTTCTGAAATGATTTTGAAGAGGTAAATCAATTAATTTTTATCTATAAATCAAAATCACGGACATATGTGTGTGTATATGTGTGTGTGCGTATGTGTGTGTGCAACAAAATACTATCCAACGCTAGAAATTCGTTAGATTTCATAAAATACTGCATAAATATACATATATACATATATGTATACATATATGTATATATAATATATATATATGTGTGTATATGTGTGTGTATACAATTGAATAAAATAATAATATAATACATAAAACTTTGAATAACTAACCTGCGGCTGCTCCTTCTGCGTGTGTGTGTGCGTGTGTGTATGTGTGTGTGTGTGTGTTTGTATACAATTGAATAAAATAATATAATAAAAATTTGAATAACTAACCTGCGGCTGCTCCTTCTGAAATGATTTTAAACAGAGTGAATAAATCAAACTGTACATCATTTTTCATTACTTATATTTATTTTTATTTTTGCTTTTACTATTACCGGTGTAATTGTTATCATTTTTATCAGCAGTAGTAATAGTAACATGAATAATAGTAATATATCAATAGTAGCAGTAGTAGTAGTAATAGTAGTAGTAGTAGTAGTAGCAGTAGTAGTAGTAGTAGTAGTAGTAGTAGTAGTAGTAGTAGTAGTAGTAGTAGTAGTAGTAGTAGTAGTAGTAGTAGTAGTAGTAGTAGAAGTAGTAGTAGCAGTAGTAGTAGTAGTAGTAGTAGTAGTAGTAGTAGTAGTAGTAGTAGTAGTAGAAGTAGTAGTAGCAGTAGTAGTAGTAGTAGTAGTAGTAGTAGTAGTAGTAGTAGTAAGAGTAGTAGAAGTAGTAGTAGCAGTAGTAGTAGTAGTAGTAGTAGTATTAGTAAGTGTAGCTGTTGAAGATGAAGTAGTAGTAGTAGTAACGGTAGTAGTGTAATAGTAATAATGATATTGGTAGTTGTAGTAGTAGTTGTAGTAGTAATAGTATTAGTAATCGGAGTAATTAGTAAACATATTTGGAATAATAGTAGTAGTAGAAGTAGTAGCGTTTAGCGGTGGGTGCAGTAGTGTTTAAAGTAGTAGCAGTAGTAACATTGTTAGCAACAGAATGAATTTTCATATAACCAATAATTTCAACTTAAACATTAATAAAATACGGAAAAATGGAAAAATATCACCAATGGATTCTTATCGACCTGCGGTTCCTTCTGAAATGATTTTAAATATGTGAATCAATTTTACCTATATATATATATCTATTTATTTATTTATTATTCGTTTTATTGTTATCATTAGTAGTATTATTATTTTTTGTAGTAGTAGTATATTATATATGTATGTATGTGTATATATATATAAGCTGGAAAAAGACCATAATTAAAACAGTAATTTATGAAGTCTACCGAATTTCTAGCGTCGGATAATTTTTTATTACATTTCTCAATATTTCTAATCAAATTTTTGTCGTCATTATTTATTTTATGAAAGTTAGAATAATATACAGTTTTCCAATTTATTCTCAAATTGTGTGAGGCCCCTATTTCGAATTTTCAATCATCTTTAGTACTAGTTGCAGTTTATATAAGGAATTTGTAAAAAACCCAGGCCTTTGTTTCTGTGGTTTGCATTCATTGTTAATAGTGATTATGTTAATTTTATTGTCTTCTTTACTAATTGATACGGCTTCTTTGCTCGTTACTTTGCTAATTACATCGGTGTTACTTTTTATGGCTTTGGTATCATCTACTTGCTCTTTGATAGTACATTAGTCGATGTTTTTTCAGTGTTTTCATCGGCACCATGGGTGTTGTTAGTATGTTTTATTATTGTTCTTCTTGTTGGGAGTATTGTTGAAATCTTTTGTTGTTTGTTTATCAGGGGTTGTTTTATGTCGATGAGAATGGCTTTGGATATTTTCTGATGGGGATGGCTGGAACTTACAGCAAATTATTTTGGTGGTGTTGTTCTGGATTTTTTTTGCAATTTCAATATAATGTGTATGTTCTAAGTGTGTTTTTATAGAACCTTTCCTAGCTAGTCGTAAATTATAATGGTTTAGACTTTGTACGGGACAATTCAAAAAGTACAATAAAATCCTTTGTGAACCGTGCATTCACGCATTCATCCTCAACTGAAGATCGCAATAAGGAACTTAAAAAATTACTAATTTAAGAGTAAGCAATGGTTACAAAACATCGTCCATTGAGAGCACCATTCAACAAAGACAACAACAAGATAGAAATATATTTAAAAACAATAATGACAACGACACAATTCTATATTACAGAAATCGTATGTCAACGTCACATAAAATAGACGAAGTCGTCCTCAAACAAATCATAAAGAGTAATTTTACACCAATCAATGATACTAATAAATTTAAACTCAGAATATACTACAATAATTGAAGACATCACAAGTTGGCCTTAGAGAACAACTGCAATCCTAAAGACGATCCTACTTTGAAGCGTAATCCTGTAATATATGAATTTAAATGTCTTATTGACGACTGAGCTCGTCAACAGCAATTGTATATTGGTGCTTTGTTTAAAAAAAATATATAAACCAAACCTACACTGAAGATGATTTATGAAAAATCGAAATTAAGCCTTATCTGCATGATGAATTCGGAAAACAAGAGTTTCATTAAATTTTCATGCTGAACTTGGATAGTTCTATTGTCAACAAATTAAACAATTATCAAAAAATTCTGATAAGGAAAATTGAAAAGACAAATTTTTATTTGATTAATGCCAACAATTCGGTAGAATTCATCCAATACTGAATAAAATATGGCCTCCTTCCAGCATATATTATTATTTATAATATCGCTGTAACTAGTGAATTATTTTAGTGATAATATTAACAAAAGTCTACCTTATCTCCCTACTAGACACACGCACACAAACCTGATTTTTCAGTTTCCCCCAGCAGTGGTTGATTTTGGCTGCTGCCTCTCCGTCTTGAGCTTTTACGTCTGCCTCTTGACTTTCTGGACTTCCTTTCTTCATTTCCATCATTTCCAGCTGATTCTCTTCTCCGATTTTTTCGTTTCTTACGCGAACTTCTTTTTTTGGCAGGCGAGCCATACGACGACAGACTTTTCTGTCCTGATTTGTCTTCATCCCATGCTGCTTCCGACGGTGGTTCAACAACCGAACTAGCTGCTTGCTCTAAAAATATATTTATTAGTTTGAAAAATTTTGTTTTAATTTGTTGATTTGAAAAATTTTGAAAAAAACGGAAAAAATGATTTTTAATTAAAATTATAATTTTTACTCTTTTTCTTCTTATTTAATAATAATAATACAATTAAAAAAATAATTTTCATTATTATTTTCAGTTTGTTTACTAATAGAACCTTCAGCTTTTTTGTTTGCTCTTCTTCGCTTTGCCATCATTCTATCAAATTTTCCATCTACAAACGTGCCAAGCAGAGTTTTTAAATTAATGTAATTTCAGTAAAAGTGATAATTAAGATATGTTGAGTGCGCTATGGAATTTTCAGCATTTTAATTATAATTATGTATAATTTGAAATGTCAAATCTTTAATGATATTTTTGTCATCATTGCCTTATTCCTTCAGATTACAAAACTTCTTAATGCTTTAGGTATCATCATTAATTCATTCACTCAAATGTTATAACGAGATTTTTTTTTATTTTTAAAAATTGAGTTGGTTGTTTGAAAAATTAAATTGAATCGGTGTATAACTACAGCATAGCAAATTGAATTATGAAAAAAAATTTCAAGTAAACTTGTGTCTAAAAATTAAATATTTTAACAGAAAATTTACCGCGAAACCAGTAGAAGTACAATCCAATAAAGGAAATTCCCACCATAACTCCGAAACATATGCTGGCCATTTTCACTCCAAAAATAGGATCTTCATATTTAATCTTTTTCGTATCTGCAAATGTGTTTATTCATTAATTTATTTATTCTCACATACAATAAACTTCAATAAAAAGAGGATTTAAATAGACAAAATCTCAAGTAAATCATTCTCCTTAATTTAAATTAATTGTTGGCTAGGTTTCTTTTATCTCAATTTATAGAGGGTTTTATAATTAAAATAATTTATTAAAATTACTTTTTCAAAAATATTATTAATATAACTTATTTATTTATTTACAACATAACTCAGAGTTCATAAAAACTAAAACATCTCGAAATGTTACAAGATTTCAAATTTTAAATAACCATTAACGTTCCGCTTATATCTTCCCGATATCCAAGATTCAGCTTTTTCCATGATATTCTCGTTCACTTCAGCCATATGTAGATCTGGACTAATTATTGGTGGACTACTATGTGGCTCTGAACCAAAACCAGAAAAACCCTTTTGTGGTTTCGAGTCGACACTGTGGAGGCCATCAACCTCTTGTTCCTGTTTTCTTCTTCCAACATCCGACCCATTGAAATCCGATTTTTTTCTGAAAGTTGTAATAGGTTTCAGGTTAAGTTTGTTAGCTGCTGCTAGTTTTACAGTTAAGGACGAAACGACAAATTGTGCATACGCAGATAGAAGGTCATTTGATTTGACTATTTTCTCATTGCTTGGCACTAAATCAGTGACATCAACTGCAGTGCTGGCTTTTGCCTTATGATCTTCAACTCTGCGAATCGGACCAACAACTCCATTTTCAAGCGTAGACTCATCAAAAACTTTGACTTTCTTTTTGGCAGCTGCATTTTGTTTGCCCGCAGCTACGAATTTGGCTACAGCTACTTTTGCTGTTTGATAGTAGCTTGAATCGATTTCATATTCAACAATTGTTTCATTGCGTTTGTTGAGTTGGCCATTTACAAGATCAATTAAAGAAGTTGAGGTTGTGATTGGCTTGTTGGCATTGATCACTGGTTGATTTGGTTGGAGGATTGTGAATGTGAAAAGGTTGAGTACCGAGATGGTTTGTTGGATTCCAATCATTGGATTATGTTTTATATTTTCAAAGTAATTTTACAGAAAATCCTTTTTTTTTATTTTGCACAGTCAAACCATTTCAAAAACAATTGAAATAACTATAATTAATAATTTCTTGGTAAACCGAAAATAATAAATTTGTAAAGTGCGTAATAAATGTAAAAGAAATTATTTAAATCATGTCTACACAAGTCGTGCATCATTATTCAAACGTTTTGGTTGGTGAAAATTGCTGTAAACACTGAAATGAAAAAAGTTTCAAACAGTTGTAAGGTAAAAAAAATTAAAGTCAAATGATCTTTCTAAATAATTTCAATCGAACTTGAGTTGAAAGTAAACAATTCTAATATAAATAAACAAAAAAGAAAACAGTTGAATATAAAATTAGTAATAAAATTATTTTTTCAACTCATTAGGTGGTAAAGAAATGTTGATTATGACTACATTCGAAACTAAAAAATATGTGTTTTATTGTTACCCAAAGGCAGTTGCAGATTGTTGAAAAAAATATTCAATCAATTCAAGTGGCCGATCTGATTGATTTCTTAATGAAAATAAAATAATCAAAGAGATCAGCGTTTATAAATAAATAAAAAAAATAACAACATTGCATTCATAACCCATGTAAACCTTTATTGTGCAGATTGTTTGTAAACAAGCTTTTTTAATATAATATGTTATATGTATAATATATGTGTGCATCATATATATATAAATATATATATATATATATATATATATATAGGATTCAGATTATCAGATATACAGTTGTTGAGAAATGTCACAGCATTTTCAGCGTTTCTTAATTTCCTTTTAAATTTTTCAATCTTTCTTACGATGAATTTCAGTTGATTATTAAGTTTATTTAACTCATACACTTGATGACGTTGGTAATACAAAACACGTAAAATAATTTTTTTTAACAGTGCATTTGTAGTTCATTCTTTCTTCACACAAGTATATTTTCAAAATATTTTCAGCGAGAATTTCCTTTAATCAAAATTAATGAATAAATAAAGACAATAGTAGAAATGTCACCAACAACTTTCAATGGCGTTAATTTTGTCACAATGGGATGTCTTTTCTACACTAGATGTCTCCTCCAAAAGAACATTTGATAGTTTTGACACGTTAGGAAATAATTCAATGGCATGTGGTGTGAAATGTGCTTTATCGGAAAATTTTTTGATGATGGTTCTTTTGTAAATTAATTTATAATAAACCCTAATATTTTTCATCACATATGTTTCGAACTTTGAAATAAGATCTAGGGGCCGTCCACAAAGGATGTCACGCTTCAAGGGGGGGTGGAGGAGGTCCAAATATTTGTGACAGTTTGTGACGAGGGGGAGGAGGGGGTAAACGCAAGTGTGACGTCTTTTTTTTAAATAAACAAAACAATAAATAAATTGTTTTTCAAATATATGCTTAAAATGAATATTAAAATTTTCAAGCGTGCAATTAACTCATGAATATTAATTATAGGAGGAGTCAAATTTCAATGCCATCGTTAAGGTTTACCGCTGTGTAGGTGTTAATATTAATAAATAGTTAATATTAGTGAGGTTTGACGTTGGCTAAACCAACTGATCACGCTTCCTCCAGATACACCTGATGTCGATCTTCCACTAGACTTATCTCCTCCATGATCTGCATCACTGTAGGCTGTTTTGACCAGACTTGTAAACAAAACCGACATAACTGTGCCTTGCTTGCAAATATCTGAAAATTTGCTTGACTTGTGCTACACTGGACTTGCTGGGTTTCTCCAAACTTCTGGATGCTACTCCAACTGCATATGCAATATCTGGTCTTGTTCCCGTCATCAAGTACATCAATACACTAACTGCTGATATGTAAGGAAATTTCACTTCCTCGTGTTCATTTTTGTTTTCATCGAACTCCTCAGGTTTTGTAATCGGAGTTGTACAGGATTTACACTGACTCATCCCAAACTTTTCAAGAATCATTCTTGTATATGATTGACTTTAATATTTTCTTTTTCATCTTGATTAATTTCTAATCCAAGAAAATATGTTGCAAGTTTAGATGTTATTTTGAACTCTGACTTTACTTCTTTTTCAAAAATTTTTAGTTTTCTTTTATCGGTTCCTGCAAGTATGAGTTTCTTTCCTTCCTGTATTTTAATGAACAAACAAGCATCTGCATCGCTTTGTTTAAAATGTCTCTTTTTCAAGAATTCAGCAAAGCGTTTGTTCCAACATCTTGGAGCTTGTTTATGTCTATAGAGACTTCGCTTGAGTTAACAGACTCTTCCTGACTTATCTTTAAAACCTTCAGGTTGCTCCATGTAAATATCTTCATCAAGTTTGCTGTAAAGAAATGCTGTTGACCCATCAAACTGCATGAGTGACATCTTTTCATTTGCAGCAACACTTAATAGTGTTCTTATAGTTGAACTTCTGACCACAGGACTATAGGTTTCTTCATAGTCAATTCCCTTTTACTGAGAAAAACTTTTTACCACTAGCCTGGCTTTAAAACGTTCAACAGAACCATCTGGATTGTGTTTTATCTTGTAGACCCATTTGCATGGTATTGCCATATGACCTTTTGGAAAACTTACCAAATCCCACGTTTGATTTTCCTCTAATGACTGCATTTCACTGTTTATGGCTTTAAACCATTCATCTTTTTCACCACTTTGAATGGCATCTTTGTAGCTCTCAGGTTCAAGTACTTCCCATTATGCAGACATAACAAAAGGATCATAACAAGATGGCTTTTTGATATTATTCCTGTCACGTAAAACCATACCTTTGGTCTTTTGATTGCAACAGTCAGATTGATCTTCTTCATCAGATGAAACTGAACTACGGTTGTGAACATCTTCATCAGTTGAAATATTTTTTTTAAACAAAGTTTCTTTATTTTCATCTTTGATTTCAACATCAATCGAAACTGTATCATCTGAACAACTTTCTTCTTGCAAAATCACTGAATTTGGTTTGACAACCTTCTCATCAAAAATAACATCTCTTGATCTCTGATGTCCCATTCGTTCATGGTATAACTGCAATGCATCTTGATCATTGACAATGTTAACTTCGACTTCAGAATTCAACGGTCTAACAGTTTTTTCAACAAGTTTGAACAAACTTCCATTGTTGTTTCTTATTCCAACAACATTTATCACATTGTCAATAAGTAAATGACAACTTCTTGAGGTTGAAAAAAAAACTATTTTTGTTCTTATTTTGAGTTGCAAGTACTGAGAAAAAATTTCTTTTTACTTTTGTGAATTTAACAGTTTGCCATTTATTATTCACTTTCACTTGAAGATGAATAATTCCTTTTCCAAAAGCTTCTACAGTATCATCATTTGCAACATATAATTTACTCGGTTGAGAAAATTTTTCAAAACTTTGAAATATGTTTCTTCGGAAAGTTAGATGACACGTTGCACCATTGTCAAAAAACCATTCATCAGTGTACGCTGACTCATCACTTGCAAAAACACTTGATTCCATAACAACTAGTGACTTATTGTCATCGCGTAGATTGTTATTTCTTGGTTTTGCTAGTCTACCATCAAAATGCCATTTTTCACAATTTCTTACAATGTGACCTGGCAATTTGCAATAATGACATATCAGTCGCTTTGATTTGCTGACAAATTTATCTTGTTTTTGCTGTGAGTCTAGTGACAATATTTAGGAGGAGATGTGGTTGGTTTCGTCGGAAATTATTTCCTTCCGGACCCAATTTTCAATAATTTAATAAACTAGTAATATCTCAAATGGTTTCGATACACTCGAACTTCATAAAATGGTGTGATGGTTGAAGGCGCTGCAGTGTTCTCGTTCGAATGCAACACCGTCCTGGCATATCTAGTGCAGTCAGTGTGCAGCGTGATTAGCGTTTTGTCGCTACCATAGATGCAAGTGCTGCATCCTTATACCTTTTAAATGATAACATTTTTTATTTTATTAGGAAGGAAAGGTGAATTAACTGAGGTTAGTCAATGAGATTGAATTATGCTGATCGAAACACGTGCCTGATGCTTACTATATTAAGTATATTTATCTTCATATAATCTCATTTGGGACATATCCAGCTTTTCACAATTGATCGTTTCCCAATTCATGTAACAAAATTTCAAATGTTCTTCCACCCATCTTGGAATATTTAAGTAATCGAATTCTGTCAGTGCATCAGTGGGACCGGACACCTTTACCTCTACACAGTTGATAATGAAGGATGCCATTGGGTTGTTTGTCTATCGAGTAACTGATGAGGAAGCCCCGGGGTAGGTACAGCGACATCTTTTTTCATTATCTAGTTATAGACCTGTTACTAATATTACTGTCATATATGATATTATACTCCCTGTATCAATTCTATGGTTTATTACCAACTTAGCAGAAATAGTAGTTTATAAATAATTATCATTTTATTCAAACTACAACTCTTTGCTACCTGTATCTCAATCTGGTTTCAATCCTGCTCACAGTACTGAAACCTTTTTACTCAAAGTACATAATAATATCCTTCTCTCTAGTGATAATAGTAATCTTACTCTTCTTCTTGCTCTTGACTTTTCCTCGGCTTTTGATATCGTTGCTCATAATATTCTCATTAAACTGCTAGTTCATTCTTTAATGTTAGTGATTCTTGTCTATCTTGGTTTTCTTCTTGACTTTCTAATTGTTTTTTTCTGTTGTTCATAATAATTCTACCTCTAAATCCTCCACTCATACTTCTGGAGTACCTCAGGGTTCTATCCTTGACTCTCTTCTATTTATACTCTACATTTCTGAACTACCATGTATTAATAATTTTTTTTCACTAGTCAATTATATGCTGATGATTTTTATATTTATATTTCTTCTCTTTCATCTAATCTCAATAATGTTCTTCATAATCTATCATAATCTATCTCTATGTCTTTTTTCAATTATCGCTTGGTCTGACTCTATTGGTCTTAAAATTAATCCTTCCAAATTTGAAATTGTTTTAATAAATCTAAACGCTTTATTACTATTCTTTCTATTATCTTACCTGATTCTAAAACTCTTGATATTGTCTTTTTCTTCGCAGATTTATAGTGTTGCTAAAAGTTCTTACTATCATCTACGTAAAATAAAAAAACTTTTGCTTTTTCTTGATGATCCTACATTTCTCTTTCTTGTTACTTCTTTAGTTTTTTCGCTCCTCTATTATGGTCTTCCTGATTCTACACTCTATCCTCTAAGTAAAGCTTTTTTAACTCTGCTGTTCGTCTAGTTGCTTGTGCCCCTTTCTTTTCTCATATATCTCCATATCTTGTTCTCTTGCACTGGCTACCTATAAAATATAGAATAATTTTTAATATTTGCACATTTATGTATAAGTCTCAATCTATATTATTTTCTAAGTACTTATCAGATATATTAGTTGAGTTAAATTTAGCTTTATGATCCTTTTATTTTTCTCACTATTTTGTAAATTGTGTTAAACTCTCTTTTGCTAAATCTGCATTTGCTTTTTTGGCCCTTTTCTCTAGAACTCTATACCTCCTTCTACTTATCAAAATATTTACATTTTTTTTAAATTTATTTTAATCACTAAATAATAAAATTGCAACATAAAACAATAACTACTTCAAATTTGAGAGTTTGTTGGTTATTACATCAAGAATACTTTACTTTTTTTTCTTTGCTTTTGGCAGAATAAAATTTCGAAAAAAAAAACAAAGTTAATTTTTGAGTTTTAGCAAATTCAAAATTTTAAATGAAAAAAATATAAAAAATGGGAGAAAAATATTGAAGAACGTTTCAATCAGGCTATTATGAAATAGTATTTTAAATTTAAGAAATAGAACTTCGTTTATGTTAGAGAATGTAAAATTAATCAAAATCGGAACAATTGTAAGGTGCGCCTAAACTAATATTATTAGTTTTTAAAGAATTTAATGAACATTTTCAATGCAAGTGGGACTGTAAACAATTTCTGAAAAATCATTGGAATAACTACAATTTTAAAAAACCAAAATTTATTTTAGGCATCTCCAATTATTATATTAAACAGCTCCCTCGAACACAAAAGTCAACCTCCACACATCTCTGAGTAACATTTCATCTTTTAAAACAAACGAAATTTTTATGTATTATTTTCACGTCTCTGCTTTGTAAAAAAAAATTAAAAAATTGATATAGCGAGCAAAAGTGAAGCAGTTTTATGTCAAATAACTTTTGAATAATCATCCAAATTCAAAATACTCAACATTAAATAACATGTGTTGTTTTTTAGTAAATTGTACGTGAAGTCATTAATAAAAAAAATATTTAATATTCGTCAAATAGTTAGCAATTGTAAATTATAAATTAAAAGTTTAAGCAAAAGATTAAAGATGCCCATGAAAGAGATTTTGGGAGATATGCATGAAGCTGAACCTAATCTAAACCGTTGAAAATGTATTTTTATTTCTATAAACTAATCACTCAAATTAAAATACACAGACAATTATAAAAAATTTAATTTTATTTTAAATTGATGAACAACAAATCCTTGAAAAAATAATCAACAAATCATCATTATATCTTCTCCGAAAATATTGCACTTAATCATCACCGTCAACATCATCTTCATCATTTCAAACTATACTTCTGTTTCCAAACAAAAATATACATACATACATACATACATACATACATACATACATACATACATACATACATACATACATACATATATACATACACACACACACACACATAAATACATACATACATACATACATACATACATACATACATACATACATACATACATACATACATACATACTAATAACTCGGCATTCAAAGCACAATATTTTGTTTCGTATTTCTAGACGGATGTTCCATGAAACATCCGTCTAGAAATACGTCAATGGTAACGATTTAAAAAATCAAAAATTTTGCAAATTTCATGTTGAGTTCATTGTTTAAAAACTTTTAAAACAAACTATTTGTTGAAAAATAAAGTACTAACACACAACACTGAGCAAACACACACACACACACACACACATCCAATTACACACACAACTTCCAAAACAGTAAATAGATAACATGGCATGCTTTAATAATTGACGACAAGCCATTGTTGCCATCTCTTGAATGCGCAATCCACTCTGAAGCGTAATTGTTTGTGGTAAGCATTTTATTAACATTTTCTGCCCCATTCATTTTTCCACATTGTTTAGCTAGATGCTTTAGGCTTGCACACACACACGCACGCACGCACACTCACGCACACAAACACACACATGCACCCACACACACCACAACTACTACTACAGATTTTGATGTGTTGTTATAATTAATTATATAATAATACTAATGCTACTGCGAATTCTGTTAATATAAATTAGAATATATTTTATTCTTATTACTATGATGATTTTATTATTATTATTGTTTTTGTTATTTTTGAGGTTTTAATGATAATAATAATAATTATTATTATTATAATTTTGACCTACTATATTCAGCGTATTTAATATCTTTTTTCCTGCTCCCTTATAGCCACGCTGCTTTGAGATCGTCGTCCATGACAGACTTACCCCTGATTCTAATAGCTTAATGGAACATATGCGTAATATGCTAATTACCCCTTAGCAGAAAATATACCTCTATGCAGCACATATGCTAATTACTTCTTGGCAGTACACATGCTAATTAACCCTTAAAAGCACAATTGCTATTTAACATAATATGCTAATTGCACCACACGACTTGGGAGATGTTTTTTTTTATAAATCAATGGCTTCTGTATTTTACTCTATAAGCTTATATGTGATTATTTGGTACTGGTTTTGGCAAAATCAATAACACGATCAACTGGTCATAATTTATTGTAAAGCTATACAGGATGCTGTCTTATAACGAAAGCAAATTTTTCTTACAAACTTATAGCACCTAGCAAATCATCACACCATGCTGACGCAAGTTTGAAGAGTGTCACTGAACATGCCGGAGTAACAGTAGTTGTAATAACAACTGGAGGGGTCTCTATTTTTGCACTGCACGTACAAGTTGTGCAAAATTGTAGGATACTTCTGCAGGTTCGACTGCATGGTCGGGCAAGGGTTCTGAGCATCACAATTGTAATATGAGTACTTTGTTGTCTTTGTTGTGGCAGTTGTGGTTACTAGCTCTTTTGTTGTCCTTGTTGATTAAGTTATAATTGTTGCTGGTGAAGCTGTTATTGTTGTAGAAGAACCGGCTGTGTTTGTGAACATTTTTAGAATTGACGATGATGATGAAGATGGTGAGAAGGATGGTGAAGCTGATGGGATAAAAATGATGATGAAGTTGCTGCTGCTGATGCTAACAATGATGAGAAAATGATGATGAATAACATGGTGACGGGGACTAATAGCGATGATATGATGATAACGTTGATGACGCCTAGCAGATCTGATGGAATGAAGATGGTGATGTGGTTGTTGGTGTTGTCCCTCCTCGTCGTACTGTTGTACTCATCGCTGTATTGAAGTGTTTCTCAAGTCAGCAACATATTTCAAATAGTTTAATAGATAAAATTCACCATTGGAACAAGCGATGTTGTTGATATGGATATTGCTTTTGACGTTGCAGAGAGAGGGAGAGAGAGAGAGAGAGAGAGAGAGAGAGAGAGAGAGAAAGAGTGAAGAAAAAAGTGAGGGATTTTAGTGATATGATTTGTTTAATTCATTATTTTATTTTTTTCAGAGAAGTATCTTCGCTAACAGCTACTCTCACTATTTCACTAATTAGTCTTGAAAAATCGCTAAAACCATTATATTTGGTTTCTATTGAACAAGTTAATAAATTTATGTTTAAATGTTCTATGAAAAGCGAATTTTCATTTATAATAATAACATTTAGACATAATTGGAATTTGAGACTAGATAAATAAAAGTATCATCAAAAGCAAGCAAATGGAGTTTGTATTGTTGACATTATCTTCTCAATTAGTTACTTAATTACTTCATAATGACCAAACATTATCAACAAAGTGAAGCGAACTGGATCTTGTTTGATGTGTTCAAGGATGAAGAATGACTGCGTGTAATTGTGTTAACGTTACTGCTGATGTGGGTTCGTTAATTTGTGTATGTTGCCTGGGTAAATTATAATTGTAATATGAGAGCATGATGTCTTGCGAGTTAGAACGGAGGTAGGATGGTGCGATATGTTTGTTATGGCATGGTGTAGGTATAATTGTATATGCATGTCTGGTGACGCCCCAACATTTTCTTGCAGTTATGCACCTTCACTTCAACCTGATGAAAGTGCTCATTAATATCACTCATCACTTAATAACATCTTATTTTAATGTAATCTAAAATGAAGTTTTCAAAAAAATTTACTACCATCGTTGTCCACTGATCGTCCAAACGTTTTTTTTCATAGAAACTTGAAGTGTTGGATAACTGATTCAGTGATATGAAGATGAAACATGGTTCAATCGATGATAGGGATGTTTTTTGTAATAACAATTTTTTCCGAGGTTGATTTTGCTAGAGGTTTAGTAGGTTTGGTTACAACACACAAACAAACGCACGCACACAAAGACAGACGAACACACACACACAAACACACACACACAATGCAAAGTTTTTTCAATCTTGTCATTTATATGGTTCAGCTTTCAGTGTACTAATCGGCCATTAGTTCAAAGGAAATAAGATGGTAACGTCGCTCAGATAGGCTTAGCTCTACAAACATAATTAGTTCAATTTTAAATTATTATTTTTAATGTATTAATGTTATAAAAGTTAATATATAGAAAAATAATACACAAATACATAGTTAATATATATATTATTTCTAAATCAATAATTATTAATTTTAAGTATAATGATATTTTATTGAATATTAACAAATACTGCAATGTCATTGTGTTTTTGATATTTTTGAAAAGTTGCGTCATTAACGTTAAACCACTATAATAATTCTATCCAATAACTTCATTTTTCATAATACAACCAAATTCCAACAAATTTCTAAAGTCTGGCAAAAACGAATTGAGGAAAAATTTTTGGGTGAAAACTTGGTCGGGCAAACGTTCCAGTAATAACCTGACAAAATGATGGATGACAGAGTAATGGGAACAGCAAAGTGGTGGATGATAACATGGTGGATGACAAACTGATGGTTGGCCGAATGGTGGACGACAAACTGATGAATGAACGAGAGAATGATTAATAACAAAATAATGAACAACAAAATGGCAAATGATGAAAATTGCTTATGACAAAAATGGTGAACAGCGAAATAACGCAAATAAACAGCAATTAGCTCCGTCCTTGGAATCTAATTTACGTACTGCCCCTACAGGACTCTTGACTGATCATTCACGTCTCATATTTATCACAACTTGTGAGTGGAACCTTTATGTGACTAGGAATGTCTATAGTCATTTAATTGGCTGGTTAGCTCATTCGGTTGGAGCGCCATGTTAAGCATTATTATATAGCGATGGTTGTCTGATTTAAAACTCAAATGCCATCACATGTTTTTGTAGTTTTTTTCCAAAAAGGAACAATCAGTGTTAATCTAGTTTTTAATTACGGACTTTAGAAGTTAATTTCAATAAGAGAACTTCACAATATAAATTAAAATGATTTTTATTAAACGAACAAAATATATCACTATCACTAATGACTATTCCATGAAATGAAAAATTTGTAATGAATAATTCATTATTTTCAAATGTATTGAAATGAAACATTATTATGTCCATTATCTTTGCAAGTCTCTCCTGTAATTATTAATTGTTTCATAATAAAAATTGAATTTCCAGAAACAAGAATGTAAAAGGAAAGAACTTGATGGCTAACAGGTGACACTGAGCTGGATGGTGTGCAGCTTTTGGGAGGGGGACAGGCACCAGTACGTGCCAGCATCCTCCACAGTGGCAGCTGATATTTTGAGGAACTTTTTGTTTTCTAATTTATTTCTAAAAAATGAGATTAATTTTCAAACTTAAAACATAAATATTATATGATAATGTTCAAAAATCTGCGCAATAATAGTGGAATGAAAAATTTTATAAATTGGAATTTAGAACATTTATTAGTATTTATTTAAATCATTTAATGTAACATAAATTTAAAATTGTTGCCACTACTCATACAATTTACTGAAAAATCATTATAATAACAATGAACAAACATTTGAAACTGTGAGCGCCAACACAAACAAACTAACTGAATAACATTCTTGCTACGGTGAACCAAACTCTGGCATTCCTCCTCAAAACCCTGCAGCACAGATCCTCCCACACTCACCTCAACCATCTTGGTGGCAGTCTTCGAGGAACAGTCTTTTTTAATTTATTGGAAATTTTGTTGAGAGGTTTTTCATTTGCATGTTTTTGTTGGAATTTTTATTTAACGAACTTTCTAACTTTTTTTTTACAAATTATTATTACAATGAAGAACATACCATCGCCGGAATCTACAATGTGCAAATGCATGGCTATGTATTATTTCATTTCTTAACAATTTTCGTCAGAAATTAAATCTAACCAACATTTATTAGACAGACATGGAAATAGAACTAGTCTGAAAGAACTTACCTACACGACGAACGTTTTGAAATTTCTTCAGGATGCCGCCAGTGACTCTTTCTTTGTAGAAACATTGTAGACCGCAGTAGAAATCGTAGTCACTTTCATAGAAACATATTAACTATATCAGTCACATCAGTCTTATTTGCTTTATCAACGTAATGACATTAAACGTTACCCATTGAAGAAATTGTATATTTTATTCGGAAGAAAAAGAAAATATTTATTAATGTATTTCACAATAATTTTTCAGTGTTTCGCTGACACTCAATTTGGAATAAGCAGGTTTGATAAAAACGCTAGTAGGTACTTTCAACCGCAGAAAATTTGCTGCCACAAGGTTTCTTGACATTCAAACTCATCTACAACTTTGAGGCACAACAATTCAACAGCATTGATTTTTCATTTGAAATGGAGCACGGAACAAATTTCAAACAAACTTTGTGAAATTCGGCGACACTTTAATTTCTGAGGAGACTCGTTTTTGATGGGGATAACTTTCGATGAGGTCAGGAATGGCTGGACTGTCCGCCGCAACATCGTGCTTCCTTAGTCCATATTTTATATTAATTTCTCAACTAATATTAAAATTGAATTAATTTTAATATCTAATTTTTATTATAATAAAAATAAATAAAATTAAAATTAATAAAAACTACTTATCAGAAAAATAAAAATAATCGTTCAAATGAAGGATTAGCATAACAAAATTTGGATTAATAACTTAGAGTTAATGAACAAAATTTTTAAAGACGAATTAATAAAAATCATGATCGTTGGAAAGGTTGTGCTGCAGCAGAAAGATGAACTGGGACGTACTGGTACTTGTTGTCCAAGTAAACCCAGGTGAGGTTGCAATCAGTGGTGAGGTGTCGGTGAACGTAGTAGTCTGTACGACACGTGTAAGTGAGGCTTTCATCCTCCTCGCCACACAGAGTGGAATTCCTCGTAACGAAATCTCGACTGGCGTTTACCACTAACTTCTCTGCAGTTTTGCGGATGTGATTTGTTATTGAATGTTTGTGACGATTTATAAAGAGGTAAGTTTAAGTTGTAAACTGTTTTTAAATGGGAATTTAAATTTGTTGTGAAGACTATCGCTCATATGATTGTATGACGTTTGTACTTCAAGATGGATTGTCAGGGAATAACTTTAAAAAAGCTGCTTAATTTACGAACACAAATATCAATATTTCAAAATAACTCACATTTTGAGTGATAAAAAACATCACCCATTCATTATATTCTCAATGCTTTCCTGCAATTAACAGCGCTATACTTGGAAGAACAACGACCACTTCAATTAAAAAATTATACCAGCCTGCACCGTAAACTTTAATTACATCAGATCAAAAGTGAACCAATTTAGAATAACGTAGAAAAATTGACCATAAATTTTGGGAAATGATAATTTAAATATTTGTCCTAAAAATAATTCTTTCAAATTGTGCTAAAACAAGTTCATTTAAAACCACTTTGAAAATAAGTAACATTTTGCTTTTCAAAACTTTTTTCAAAAATTAAAATTTGAAACTTTCCAGAAGTGGTTAAAACTTTTTAAATGATTTAAAATATAAAATGATGACGTTAATTGTAATGAAAAACAAGCAACCGATGACTGTTAGGTAGATTTTTTGCGAGACCCTCAGATGAGCAATGTAACATTCGTAGAGGCCACTATCATTTGTCGTCAGGTTGAAGATTTTGACACTGTTCTTGCTTGCCCTGACCCTAGAGTCTGCTCTGTAATTTACAGTCAGATAGATTCAAATAATTGAAATTGAGAATGTATCTTTTCACAAAATTTTAGCAATTACTTCAAGCTACAAATAAGTTCACTAGAATATTATTAAAAAAGATTAATTAAAAAAAAGTTAAAAAAAAGTAAAAAATAATGAGGATGGTTGTTAGTCTCCTAACAGCCATCGGACTGACCTGGGGCAAGGCAGAGAGGCATTGCAAAGAGACCTCCCATTGAAGCTGACGTGCAGGCATTCCTCGGAGAACCACAGCGTGGTCGTTACTCCAACTTCGTTGACGCTGATTGAATGGTGATTCTCAATTTCTTTAGTGCGTTGTTTGTGGATTTAAAAAAATTAATTCTGAGTTTTAAAATTACAAAATTTTTATAATACTTTCAGAAGAAATTTCGAGAAGCCCTCTAAAAAATTAGTTCATATTTGAATTTCAAACTTTAAAAAATATAACAAAAAACCATCTACATACATTAAATGAGCTACTAAACAAAAGCCTTACTATCATTCCAGCCAATGGCAGCATAGCCGGTCTTAAAGAACATTATGTCCAACACAAGCGTCATTGTAAATATACTAACTTCAATCACTGCCATCATTAATTATAATTTCATACAAAATACAACTGGTCTTGGATAACTTAAAAACTTCAAACAGACGGATGAAGTGTTGGCGAAATTCCTTTAATAAACACGCGCTGAAATGAACAGACCCAAGTGCCGGTATACACCACACACGCGTATATATATATATATATATATGTGTGTGTGTGTGTATATAAATATATATATATATATATATATATATATATATATATATATATATATATATATATATATATATATATTATACATACACACACATGCACATGCACACACACACACACACACACACACACACACATATATATATATATATATATCAGTGATTTGTACTTAAGTGCGTACAAATGTTTTTTAGATACTTATACTAAAGATGTGAAAATCTGCACTTGAATAATTTTTTCAGTATTCATACTTGAAATAAATTAATTATTCCTGCAGGTACCAAAGAAATATTAGGCAAAAATTAACAAGATGTCATCTTTTAAGCATTGAAAAAATCAATTATGGAAAAAAGCACACACACACATTTACACACTGACATTCTTGTTCACCTCTCTTATCAACATGTGTTCTTGTTTAGTCACGGACAAGTAGAAGTTAAGATAACCATTGGCTAGTTGAGTCGTTAAAAGAAGATTAACTTACATCTCTCACACGCCTATATCTATCTATATACGTACATTACATATATACATTGTATATGCCTGGACTCGAAATAGCTTAACGATTTCGGATCAAATAATAATAATAAAAAAAACTACAATATAGAGTAGTTATTATTATTATTATATATAGTTATAACCAAATTTTATATATTAAATCATATTTATAACGAGTAATTTACTTGGAAATTTAATTAATTTATTCGGTAGAATTCATATAATATACTTAATGGATGTCATATTATTCATTATTCATTATTATTATTATTATTATTATTATTATTATTATTATGTGAAAATTTATAAAGCGCCTTCTAAAAAGTTACTCAAAAGCGCTCTCTTGAATATTATCAACTATAATATTTTTCATAAAATAAAATATCAAAATATAATAAAATAAAATTTATAACATGATACCATCTTATATATATTATATTCATGATAGTATATGCATGCATATCTTTATGGCGATACAGGACAGATTCTGTTCAGAATCTAACTTGACACATGTTAAAACGGTCATACGGTGTTCCACAGGGGTCGGTCGGTTCTCGGCCCCCTCCTGTTTGTGTTGTAAACTGCAGATGTTTTCAAAATCATTGACAGATATAAGTTCAAACATCACGGTCCTTTTGATGATATTCAGACCAGTGCTAGTGCCCTCCATTGTCGTTTTGATGATCTGCTCTGTGGACTCAGATTTATTTAAATTTATTATTTAAAATTATTATTTAAACTTCAAAGGTTTATGTGTGCCGTACACTAATAAATAATGAGCCTCATCAATACATGCAAATGTATAAACAGATTCATACAACATCGACAAAGTATCAGTATCAGGCAGCAGCCTCGAATCCGAAGTGATGTGTGTTTGACTGATAGGCTTAAATTGAATCAATCCAAAACCCATTTTTTAGCGGTTGGCCCTGGGCAGAAATTGGCAAAAATGAACGTTGAGTCTATCAGACCTGGTGATTCTGACATTCAATTTTACACATCTGCACGCAACCTGAATTTTTTTTTAATAATAACAAGTCTCTAAACTTTCATACAAGTCAGTTTCGAAAGAATGCTCTGGACAATTGCGTAGGCTCAGGCGCATGAAAAGATCTTTAACACAAGCATACTCTTCAATGTCTTGTTCATTCCTTTATCCACTCAAACTAGACTACTGCAATTTCAATGATAACTCAACAGCGCAAAGGTATAATGGTTAAGGTGCCTGGCATTGTTGTTCTAGTCTCCGGGTTCGAATGTATGTGAAGAGATCCCCGCCTATCACATGCAAAAGTGTGTGATCCGTTGAATCAAGTGTATTCGAATTGCAAGAATAGTAACGCATCTCAACCGTTTTGTTGTTCCTGGTTCTTTTGTTCCATCATCTTGATAGATTTCATTTGGTTTGGTCAGCGATAAGAGAGATATAATTATAATAAAATAGAATAACCTTTAATGACTTTTAATCTAAAATGACTTTTAATCTAAGAGAAATGAGAAAGTGAAGACTGCTGGTGGATTATTTCCATGGCTGATGTTTTTATCTCTTGAAATAAAACTACATTTCAGAAAATAAAATATTGTTCAGTAGTAATAATAATAGTAATTAACATTATTATTATTTTAATATTAACAACAACAACACTAATAATAATACTTATTGTTTTTAATGAAAGACATACAATGAATAGAATTGTGTATAAATTCAATTCGGTTAGATAACCGATAACAGTGTCAGGAATGAAAAAAATTATTAAAAGAAATAATAAATATGATAATAATTATAATAAATATGATAAAATAAAATAAAAAAAATAATAAAGATAACGGTAGTTCGTAATATAGAAATGTCTTAGAGTGTGAACTTCGAGTTGCCTGACGATTAAAATGACAATTGTCAAAATTGTATTATTATATTATAATGGGACTTTTAATTTGGACAGCGTTGGTTGAACTGTTTGTGGACTGCCTTGTGGAGCTAGTTTTATCAGTCATGGAAGCTCTTTGACTCCCAAGGGTCGTATTTCAACTCTGGGAATTGTGGAATTTGATCATAATCACATCGTCACATTGTCACCATCGTCATCGTCATTATCATCGTCATATTAATCATCATCATCATCACAATTATCATCACAATCAGTATCCTCATCGTCATCATCATATCATTCTCGTCATTGTCATCATCATCATTATCATCACAATCATCATCATCATCGTAATTATCATCACAATCGTCATCGTCATCATCACCTGTTTCCGGGTTAGCATCGAGTAATTCTTCCTCATTCTTTTTACCTTGGCGATGAATTTTTTACTTTCGTCAATTATTTCTTCATTGCCAATTAATCCCATAAAAATTTTCAAAATAATTCATAGAATAATTTCCATAATAAACACGAGAATAACAAAAATTGACTCATCTAAAGTCACCAATCAACGTTGTCAACCTAACTCTGACTCTAACCAACCACAACTAATACTAAATATCATTATAAACTTGAGATTAGTAATTTTCCGTCGTAGCTACTGTTGTCAAGTCGAAATTGCACGACTTCAACAACAACTTATGGTCATTCAGCTCATTGATAACATGTTATATAAAATAAGTTATTATAATGGGAATTCAATTGGGTATATGAAAAAACTGCATGTTACTTTTGTCCTTCATGTCACCATCTGGAATTGTTCAAATTATCAAAAAATGATAATTTTTTTATTTGCTTATAAGCTTTTTTATTTTTCTGATTTTCATAAAAATTATATAAATTCATTTAAAAATGCGTGGTTAGGTGTAGTCGTAATCATCATCATCATCGTCGTCATCATCGTCGTCGTCATCATCATCATCAACATCATCTTAAGCAGAAATGACTTATTTAATATTTATTTTAATTAGTTTATAAAATTTTCAGTTTTTTTTATTAAGCAGATTAATTTAGTCTGTACAAAATTTAAAAATAGTCACACATGATCATAAAAATAAAGACTTAGTTTTGAACCAGCCGAATGCAAGGACGTGAAGTGAATGATTTGATTCAACTCAACGGTGGGTTAATTTTTCAATCAGTTTATTATATTTTTATAGTTGTAAATATAGGAGTCGAATATGTTCATTTCTCTTAAAATAAATTTTGGAAACAAAAAAGTTGATTCTTGAACGCGCAATTGCCATCAAGCCACACTTTGTTAAATTGAAATCGAACAGAAGCTGCTATAATTATGAACAATCATTTTTCAAACCTCTCATCTTCATCTTGGAACACCATCTCAAGTTTTATAACCAAGCTACCAAAAATAAAAACGTTTTGTTGTTCACTCTCTCTTTCATTCACTCTCTCTTTCATTCTTTCTCTCTTTCATTCTCTCTCTCTCTTTCTTTCTCTTTTGTTCTCTCTTTTGCTGAAGTGTGATGCAAATTCTTTTTTTTTAATTTAAAACCGAACGTTATCGTGCGGGTTCGTTCGTCGTTGTCATTTTGGACGATACTTTCTGAAGAAGACTGCAGACACTGAACCCGATAAGCAGCCGACCATGCCACAAGCGCTGGAGCAGTTCCTCACTATTGAACAATTGTCATTTGATGATATTTCTACCACGTTTTTTACAGCAGATCCAAAATAACTTAAACTTGGCTGGCAAATTATTTTTGAAGGACTGTGTTACTAGATTCTCTAAAAATAACCTGACAAAGAAATAGATAAGAAGTTGCACAAAACAAGAAACTATTTAGTTGAAAGTACGTAGTAAAATTTTTTAGAATTTTTTTTTATCGGTAAAACTGAACTATGGAACGCTCGCAGACTGCGTGAGACCGACTGAACACCTGCATGCAGTCCACAGGTCAGAGAAGCCCACATTTAAGAGGAATGAACGAACAAATGGATGGATGATTGAACGAACGAACGAACGAAAGAATGAATGAATGTTCGAATGAATAAAAAATTCGTTCACCTTTTTTTGACTCCGTATCTTTTTTATTTGGTTCTTCTGAAAAATATGCTTCACGTTTAAAAATTTTTCAACATCATTGGCTTCAACATAAAAAAAATGTCCATATAATCATGATTCATTGTAAATCTCAAACAATTAATATCATAAATTAATCATTAAAATCATTTTAAAACAGTTTTACTGACAGCCATCACCACTTGAACTTAAAAAAATCATCACCACTTAATCTGGAGGAGGTTGCAGAGGGAGTGGTAGTGGTGGCGGCAGTGGTGTCGGAGATGAGGGCCGACGAAGGGGTAGTCGATTCCTTTGTCGGCACTGCCTTCTTCTTTTTCTTCTGCACCTTGTACTCGCTGTACTCTTGAATGATGGTGTCTGGCGTAAGGTGAACGTGGCAGTTTCATAAATAATGAGATGGAAATGTTGCAATAATATTAATAATAATAACGATAATAATAAATGGTGATAATGATAACGATGATGATAATAACAATAATAATAAACTATCGACAATCCCAATCATAAACTACAGCTTTGGTATCATTGAATGGCGAAGAACAGAATTACAGCAGATTGATAGAAAAAGAAGAAAATTGCTGACTATGGGAGGAGCACATCATCCGAAAGCTGATGTTGATGGGTTGTATTTCAACAAAAATGAAAGGGGTAAAGGACTAAAAGGAATTAAAGAATCATTCGAAAAAGCAATTATAGATCCCAAAGAGTACATTCTCAACAGACAGGATAGATTGTTTGAAATAATTGCAAAAGATGATAAAAGTAAAACAAAATAGTCAATTTCTAAAAAAAAATAAATACAATTAAAAATTTTCATTTTTAGATAAAGATGTAGGCAAAACCGAATTTTAAAATTTTTAAAAGATTATCATATAAAAAAGTACAAAGATAAACATCTACATGGTCAATTTTTTAACAATGTAAATAAGACTGGTATAGATTTGATAAAACATGGGAATGGTTAAGAAGTTCTATTTATAATAAAATTAATATAAATATTACAAAAACCAAGTATATGATTTTTAAAAGATTGAACTGTAACGATGAAGAATTTTTTTTTAAAGATAGGTGACAGTATAATTGACAGAGTTCAGGATTGAAAGTTGAAAACAAATGCCTTTTAATAGCTGCGCAAGATCAGCCATTAAACACTATCCTACTTTCAAAAAAGAGTGCTCAAACTGAATGTCGATGGTCTATGTAGAATGTACCACAAACATGTTGAAAGCATTAGTCTTGTGGTTTCTGGATGTCCTGTGCTGGCATGCACTGAATACGCCAAGAGACATAATCGAGTTACAAGCTATATTCACAGGGTGATAAGAAGATATGCTGGTTTAGAGACACGTGAAGAGCATTATAGGCATGAACAGAAGAATGCTACAAACTATATCAATGGTAAAATTTTATGTGGCACATCAGTTACGACAGATAGAAGCAAACGGACCAGGCATGATTGTCCAAGATGAAACCGAAAATATACGCCTATTGACAGATTGGATATCTGTCCCGACCATTCAAACGTTTTGCAGTAGAGACGGTAAAGATCTGTAAGTACAAAAATGTTCAAATTGAGATACAAAGAATGTGGAACTCGAAAGCTAAAGTTATCCCTATGGTAGTGGGGCACTAGAAATAAGCTCAAAAAATTTAGATAAAGTTATGAAAAAATTTCCAGGAAAATTGGCTCTTGCGGAAATTCAAAAAATAGCATTATTAGGAACGGCGAGCATTTAGAGAAAAAATCTCGGATGAATCTCTATGAGATTTTGTTGAACCCTTGATTCGTCAATAACCAGCTTTGAACAAGCTGTGAAAACTGGGATAATAATAATAATAATAATTAAAAACGCTGATATGACAGAGTAACCAAAAAATGGAAAAATGTTACTAAATAATTAAGTAACCTGTTGTATCTTCTGCATTTTATATTGTTAATAATAAATTGTAAAAATTGGGGTGTTTAATTAACTCATTGAGAAGACAGCTTTTAAAATTTTATTTTTATATAGTTTTATTTAGAACCTTTTCTTCAGTAATTCTCAGAAGTTCTTCCAACAAGAAACGCACAATGCATGTAAATACACGTGAGTTAAAATTAACCCACCAACGTTGCATTTGAAACCGGTTAATAGAGCCTATAAGCATCTTAAGCACACTACATCGTCATCATTCTGTTTGTTAGGCGAATAATGTTAACGCAAATTGCTCATGATACCAATGTGACCGGCAGAAAAAATTTATATCATATTTGTAATCTATTAATACTAATTTCAATAACGTTGATAATATTGTGATCAATAAAACGAAACAAAAAAGATTAAAAAATGGAATAATTTTAATAACCTGGGGCTTCTTCTGCAATGTTTTACATGGTTTTATATTTTCAACAAATATTCCATAAATGAATTAACCACATGTTAATCTATAAAAATGTTTTAACGTATAACTATTTAATTTATTTATTACTTTTAAAAATAAATAGCCAACAAATTACACAAAAGCGAAATTTTATACGGATAGTGTAATAATTTGGCTATTATAATATCATTGCCGTCCCTAATTGTTTTTCAAAGGTACGAACAGCAAACATGGCACATGTGATGAGCAGGGATCTTTTTACGTTCGAACCCGGTTGCTGCGAAACTAGGAGCAGGCGTCTTACTCATCACACCATGGCATCGACCAACACCTGATACTAACTTTTCACGTAAGTTTTTTTCGGATGGTTTAGTACGATTGTTTGATCTGAAAAATAAAAGACAAATAAGAAATGAAGAACACAAAAAGCACTTGAATAAAAATGTACACCAACACACACATGCACACGCATGCACACACGTACGCACACTCATATACACACACGCACACACAATAAATACATAATGGTAAATACTTGTAACCATTCACAACCACAAGATGAGCAAACTATGCGCAATCTTCAATTCACCTGGTTTCTTTGAATCCTTGCCGTAGTTCAGCGAGACTGAAAATAGTAAAAATTGTTGTAAGGAAGTGTTAACAATATTGGTTATGTTTAGGTAAATGATATCAAGTACCCAGTGATGATGTGAATGATAATTATCTAATTACAATAAATTTGATTGAAAGATAACTATCAAGGGCTGAACTTGTGCAAAATTATTTTAGCGGGCCAAATTGTTGGAAGGGAGAATAAATATTATACGTGAGATCTTAGATTTTTGTTCTTAAAACATGTTTTGTTAGTTGTTTATAGTCTTTTTGTCAACTCATTCAAAAGTTTGCACTGTCATTTTATGTCACATTTTATCATCTGGATGGTGTTGAACAGACAGCATAGTCAAGAACGTATGGAATACTTGCAGACACGAGGTGAAGTTCACAAGCAGCCGCCAACAAGTGCAATTTTTTTCAAATTATTGTGCGCAGAAAGGAAATTTTCACACGGAGAGAGCAGAAACTGCTTCTTTGTCAAAGTGAATGTTCGGTCGCAATGGTTGAAAATATGATGAAAGCGATGATGAATACAATGGAGATGGTGAGACGTTCATGAATGATGGTGAAGTGAGGTTTCCGAAATACTCACAAGTGGTGTAGTCGTTTGGATCTGCGAGGGAATCAATAAACAGCGAACAATTTTAAACAAAATTTTAATTTGTTAGAATAATTATTTTATTTGTTAATTCCACATTTAAAAAATGATAAATAAACAAAGATAATTCCTCTGAATGAAGAAAATTTTCACTAATAATAATAGGAAGAAGAGCATAAAGATATGAAAATTTCACATATGATACAATTCATTAAGCGAATATTTTACTTATAAGTAGAGACAAGCATCAAAATCTAATTGTATTGGACTACTCAAGTTTATTTTTTCAAGTTTATTCAAATAATTTAATTTATTCTTGAAACTTATTAAAAAATATTTAATCGTAAAAACATTGTACAGCCTAATTGCATGCATTCAACAAAAGTGGCTGTCATGCAAACAATCGCACACACGTGAACACATGTGCACTGAGACACCAACAAACCTTTCTTCACAGACGAATCCAGCAGTGGTTGTTTCTCATCGTGTGGCTGGTAGAACTCGGCGATCGTCTTGACAGGCTTGATTTGGCCGTCAGGTTCTTTTGGTCCGTGATCCTTGTAGGCTTTCCACTCATTGAACCTCTTCTTCTTCTTCTCCTCCTCGGCTGCCTTCGAGAGATCTGACCGTACATACTCAATGGAGCTTGTCGAACCGCTAGGACTGTACACTTGACGAGGTGTCAGTCAAATTGAGCCGATAATTAAAGAAAATGATTTCAGGTGGAAATTTTTGAATATTCAAAAAATTGATGTGAAAAATTTGATTATTAGCTAAAAATTGAAACTAAATGGTGTATAGATAAAATAAAATAGTTTACATATTTTCTCTGTGAAAAAAAGTTTCATTTAAAAATCATTGCTTAGTTATTTCAAACTAAATTTTTGTAATTTAGGTTAAAAATTGGATGAACAAAAAATTCTTCAAAATTTAATTTATAATTTAAAACAAAGTGTTTCCCAATCGAGTTACTTGGGGATAGAACGTCAGAGGCAATAGACTTCCCTTCAAATCACAACATTATTTCTCGTTCATGTTTAAACTTTCATATTAATCATAAAATTGATATCGATCTTCTTTTTTATTAATTTTAATAATAATCTTAAAATTATAATGTAATAAATTATATTAAATTGGTTTTAATTTCATAATATATTTTTGCGAAGCTTATATTTCAAACACTTCCATTACGAACTTATCATTCATTCATTCATATTTAATGCTGTTTGTAAAGATGACTAGTGTTTGATTAAATGTTTGGTAGAAAAAAGCGACCATCTCTCAGCAAATTATTTGCAACTTCAACCTTTTTGAAGATTTCTAGACATCGCCATGGCTATAATAAAGATATAAAATCATCAAAATAAACTTAATAATTTTCTTAACTAAAAAATAAACGTAAAGAGGATTTTTGTAAATAAATGCAGAATAATATTTTATAAAACCGAAAAACGGTTACAATGTTTTACATAAACTTTGATGTGTGTAGAAAAAAATTGAACAAATCACTAACAACTAAGGTACGGCTCATGATACGTCGTCGACAGGACCTTCTCTACGGTAGTACCTTCTGGCGTCTTCTTAAAATCTTTTTTCTTCACGTCCGTCTTGCTTTTTGACTTTTTATCAACCTTTTTATCAACCTTTTTATCAACCTTATCACTACTTTTGGAACTCTTTTTTGACCGACTTTTCGGAGTGGTTAGTGTCGGGGCTTTTTCGCTGGAGGCTTTTGATGGAGATTTTTTGCTCTTCTTCGATCCGGCTGCTTTTTTATCCGTTTTGTCCTTTCTTCCAAATAATCCAAACTTTTTTTTCTTTTTATCTTTTTTCTTTTTACTTGACTTGAGTGTTGCCTTGCTGTCGGACTTTGAGACTTTGGGGGATTTGGATGAGGACCGTGAAGATTTCTTGGATTTATCTTTTCAAAGTTATTCAAGATTCAAGTTATTTAATATGAATTGATTTAATAAGTGTTTTGATAAAAATAACAATAGTTTTTCAGATTATAATTATTATTTATATTATTGAAAAATATAAATTTGGAAAAATACCTGTTGGCTTTTTTTCCTTTTTTTCTTCTTCGGCCTTTTTATCTTTATTTTCTGCAAAAACGTGTTAAACAGAGTTAAGTTATTAACAAAATTAATTGAATGACTGAATACAAAAAAATAGTTGAAAACTTTTGAATAAATTCTGAGTAAAATTTTTCGATATTGAGAAAGTGCCATAATTAACAGTGAAATATCTAAATATCAAAAATACAGCCCATAAAGTTTCACACCACGTCATACCAAATGGACGCTTGGAGGTGAAAGACATTTAGGGTTTCCGGAGACTCATTAAAAAGTCCTAAGCAAATATAGATGGACAATGGGATAGACATTTACTAATTATGTTCAGACATTTTCTTTTTTTGATATTTCAGTTTTAATTAGGACCAATTTTCAAAATCAATCAATCCTATCAAAAATTTGGATGACAAAATTCGGCGTTGGTGAAAATTATTAAATAAACTAGCAAAAAATTAACTGAAAATATGTTTGAATGTTTTAGAAAAAGTAAGACTCAATACTTTAATATCGGTATTCGAATTCAAATATTTTAACATTTACCTCATTAATTTTTGTCAAACAAAATTGACGATTGAATTTAAAATGAAAGACCGGAATATAAGCTTTATATTATTTTATTTGCTTGAACTAGTAATAGTTTGACTCTAGTTTCTGTCTAGTCTATATGTTTGGATCTGTTATATAACAGTAAGAATATGATGTGCCGAGGAAGAACGTTGGAGCAGTGTTTAAAAGATTTCTTTTGTGCGAGCCTCTGGGTTTAAACAAAATAAAAATAACTTTTCGATGGGATACTAACTGCGGTACCAATAATAAATCCCTCCAATGATGACCGCCAACAGGCCGACAACAACGACGATGACGATGATTTTCATCATGCTTCCCCCACCACCAGCGTCAGCTGGCTTTTCTGGTGTGGATGTTTATTCAGGTTAACTTTGAATGGTCATTAGTTGTATATGTTTATGTTATGTTTTTTTAATTTTTTTTCTATACAAAGCAGTTGAAACAATTCTTTAACATGTTAAGAAAAAATTAAATAATTTATGAAAGTTTAATTTCAAAATTACTACTACCATCTTGCCCTCTCAATTCTTTCAACCTAGCATTTTCTGCAGCATTCTTTTTTTTAATTATTTGTTGCCCTGAGCTGGCATTAGGTAGATTATTTTGTGCATCTGAGCTGATTGGGGGTGAGCCATTCTGTGCCTCTGAACTTGCTCCATGTAGGTCACTCTGTGAATCTGAACTGACGCTGGGCTCGCTAGCAAATTCTGGTTTTTGTTTTTCAACATTCAACTCATTAAAATTAACTTTTTTATGTGAAGCATGTTTCAAGTCAAGTGCTGCTGTTTGATTTGCTTTATTATTTTTTTCCTTATTGTTCGGAGAATTGTTCACATTTGAAGAAGGGACCACAAATTGATCAGAAACACCACTCGGAGCCCCTATCTTCTGATTGCCTGGCATGAGTTCGGATAAAACGGCCGCACTGATGGATTGTGCGTCGCGATCGTCATTTGGGCGAGTCGGAAAAATTCGTCCAACTTCCTGTGTTGATTCATCAAAAACTTTGATCAAATTTTCTTCTGCAGCATTCTGCGTTGTCGCAACTTCAAACTCCTCGACGGCTGTTGATTCTGGGTTGATGTTTGCATCGGCATTACTTTCAACAATAATTTCATCGTTTGCGTTTGGCTGGTCAGTCGCTGCGACAAGCTCAGGAGTCGTTGCAGCCTTCAATTGTGCGGCATCATGCAGCAGTTGGTTCGGTTGAAAGATGGTGAATGCGAGTATGCCAAAGACTCTGGTAAGTATGTTTATCCTATTCATTTGCATCGGTCGGATCCGGCATTGAATTTAATTTAAACACGCCATCTCAAACTCTCCTAACGTTCATGCTTGTCGGTTATAAATTTATTCCCCCGTATGATGTTTGGTGATGAAAGAAACTTGACAGTTTTGTAATGGCGGCAATTAATAAAATAATTAAGTTATCAAAATAATTATTTTAAAAATCAAACTCTGCTTGTTTTTTTAAATATAAATTGAGTTAAAAGTTAATTGAATTTCATTGAGATTTGGGACAGAATATATAAGTTGCTGATAATTATATATAAACGTCATATTTGTAAACATTAACAATTTATAAACAGCTTAACTATAAAAATATTTTTATTTTTAGTAAACTTTTCTAATTTGAAAACTTATCAGCTCAATTGAATGTTGTTTTATTTCATCTCTCCACGCTATAAAATTTTCATAAAAAGGCAATCGTTTTATTGCAACTTTCTGCCACTTTTTTTTCAAATTGTTATTCTCGACTGCAGTACCTCATCACTGCTGCTGATGATTAACCAGACCTTATTGTAATGGGCAGCTGGGCCCAAAATGTTGGAGAAATTTTTGAGCAGTGGGAGAAGGCAGTCAAAATGTGAAGTTGTGCGCAGTAATAAAACAAAATTTTTAGCTAATATTTCAAACTTACAATTAATTTCACTCAAGCAGGCACAAACGAGTTATTTTAGGGTGAAGCAGTATAAATTATTTTATGCGCATATGTATATGAATTACAAACCACTAACCACTCAGTTGAACAGCTTGAGTTAAAGACAACGGCCACTATCAATGAATAACTGCAAGTTGAGTACTGAAACTAAAGTACGAAGGAAGGAACATACGATTTCAGATACGAACTTTATCAAGGACTTAAGAAGTAAAACCGCACGACTGAGCGTTAATAATAGTTAACACAATGATTGATTGATTTGATACAGTATACGTCAAACGTTTGGTTTACGTTATGGAAATATAAGTAATAGATAAGTAAACAAATTGAAGTTTTGGGCTGAGGCCACGCGCCATAGCGCACCGAAGTAACATCTGTTTAAAATGCCTAAAAGTAGGCTTGGTCGAATTTCTGATTGCAAAAATTCGCAACTGCAAAGTTATCAAGCATTATCAATTAAGACAATTACGTTGCAATTTAGCTGTGGTTTTGGGCAGTAAGAATAAAACCTTAGAATAAGCCCTGCAATTAACAAGTCATTAGCTGTGAGATAAAAAAATATTTCAACAATTCTGAGATATCACAACAACAACAACAACAATAATAAATAATAATAATATTAAATATAATAATAATAGTAGTAATAATAATTTAGATTGTCTATTAATTTATTTCTTTTCTTCTATCGTTTGTTGCGTGCACTGCTACAGTTCCTACTTTTTACATATCCGAGAAACAAAAATAGTTGGTGCTAGAAATATTTGCCAACTGCTTTGAAACAAACGAACGAATGAACAAACAAACGAACGAACAAACGAACGAACAAACAATAATTTACACAATTTTGAAAATATTTTAAAATACATTTAACAACATTCAGCCGGCCATTCAAATAAACTGCTACAAAATGGAAAGATATCAATCGTAAAGGTTACAAATAAAATGCGCTTATAGTGATTAAACGCTAATAATTCAATTTTTTGGTGTAAATTAATTTAAATATTTACTGCAACAATTTGTTATAATTTCATTTTGATCCAATTACATGACTTACTACAGAGGTAAAAACACGACAACGAATTGTATTTATGGAAAGCCACTATTTTCATATTTTCGTTTCTTAGACACGTGACGTCCCGACCTAAATAACAACAAACTCTTCAAGCGTTGGATGGATGTGAGCTCGATGAGCAATCGAACGTTGTTGATACTGGCCAAGTTGAGTCGGTCGTCCATTGACGGATATCGAACCAGTAAATATTCAAACGGTGAATTAAATATACGTTGAACGTTGATTCTATTTATGGAGATTTTGATATATGTCTAAAAATAAAAAAAATTGCACATACACACACACACACACACATACATTCACATAAACACACACACGCACACAAACACCATAGAATCATTCAATCAATCTTTCAACTGAGAAAATCATACAAGAAATTATGAAACTGATTGAACACTAAAGTCAAGATGCTGACGACATTTTGGGAGGGCTACACAATCGTCGTAGTGGCAACGAGCATCGTCTTCTTCTTCCTCATCATCGTCTCCTTCAGTTACCTCTGGCATCCCTGGTGCTTCTTCACGTTCTTCCCCTACGGTCAATGTTAGTTGATGGGGGTTGATGGGGTCTCATCTGGTTGGATGTTGCTGGGTGTGATGTGGTTTCATCTGGTTGGATGTTGCTGGGTGTGATGTGGTTTGAAATGGTGGGATTTGGCTTGATGTGGTGTGACGCTGGTTGATGTAGAAAGAAAGATGGTTCGTTTCAACCTATGGCTTTATATTTTTATATTCTTTTTGCCTTTAATTTTATTATTTCTTCAATAATTAAAAATTTAGCTTTTTATTGACTTAAGTTTAGAGTTTAATTAATTTATTTATTTGTTCAATATTATTGTTAAATATTTAATCATAAAATTTAAAATCTATTTTAATTTCTTAATTTTATAATGTCACAACTATATTTTTTTAAATTTATTTCACGTTATTATGATACAACTTGGTATGGGAAATGACGAAACAACTTTTTAGTTTTCACAGCGCCGGCCAAGGAAGGCGCAATAGTTGTCAATCCTCAATTTCTCAAAGAAATCAGTAGGAAGCCAAAAACAGGCAAATGATTTATAAAATAATTTCAATGATTAATATTCCTTTGTAGTTTATTTGGTTGTACAGTGTCTAGCTGGTGAGATGAAAATTATTTGATGAAAAGTTTAAAACAATGTTAAGTGTTTGAAAAATAGAAATAAAGTAAACATAAATTCAACATTTTGATTTGATAAATAAACCAATTAACCTGTAAAATTACTCAATTTGAGATCTTGAACAGAACAGAAAAAAAGAAAAAATAGTTTTGTTGAAACTAACCAAGCTTCTGAACAAAACAAGAAAAGTGAATAGATTTGGAAATTTTTGTGGAAGTTGCGTTAAAACTTCAACCTATTTTCTTTGGCAAAAAATTTAGTTAAAATATTAAATTAAAAAAAACAGAACCTTCAAAACCGAGGAAAGCTAGCGACCGAGCAAAAACAGTCTCTACCAAAATACCGACTGTTATTATTTCATCAAAAGAGCAAAGTTGTGATTCGCAATCCGAAGGCAAACATTCATCAAAGAAAAACGAACAAAGTAACAAAACTAAGCTTCTGAACCCAATAATAAACACCAAAAAAATAAACGGTTTTCATCAGAACAAAACAACAAAGCAATCCAAAGTTACCAAAAAGTTTAGACCAGCAGCAAAACCGCAGCAAAAACTTAAGTCAAATACGAAAGAACAGCACCAACCGCAAACACAAGGACCAATATTATTGTCGGAGTTGTCAAGCGGTTCCAAAAAACCAAAATTCGATACTTCAGTCGCACCGCTGTTCACCAACGCAACTACCCCGTCATCTAAATCCACAATGAGTGAAAAATCAGTGCCTACCTTATCCTCAAGAAATAAACTGGACGTCGTTAATATTACGGTGAGAGGGAATTCTGGAAATTCTACAAGAAGTAGTAGCTTCCCGGAAACAATGAATAAAAAAGCACGCAGATTGGAAAGCGTTACGAATGAAAAAACGTTAAAGTTTTGATAATTTTTTTTTATTGCATTCGTTAACAGATAACAAGAAATTTTATTGATCTTAAATGATTTTTATTTAATGTTATGTTAGAAGTGACTGTAATTTCTGACATTTATATATATATATATATATATATATATACATATATATTATTTATTTATATATTATTTATTTATATAATTATGTGCAGTAAAAGAGTTCTTAGAAAATATGAACGTTCGTTCAATTTTTTGCAATCATATTGTTTAAAATATAAAAAATGTTGAGAATACTTAATGAAGAGTCTGTTAACATATTTTTTTATAAGAAATATAATAAAAATAAATTGATTTATTTTTAAGGGATGAACAATAATTAATAATATTAATAATAATATAAAAAGATATTCACAAATTCTGCATAATTTTTTAATAAGTACCAGTCCATCCCTGTCATCCATGTTTATTTCGTGACACTCAGGCTGGCGGAAACTGTTGATTTTAATAAATTCAGTTACAAATTAGTGCAAAACTGTTTTGTTATAATCACTAAAAAAATATCTAATTTTATTCTTTGCCTCATTTATTTATTTATTTAATTAAACTATTCCAAATTCTCAAAGATATCCATTTTATCTGCGGTTACCTGAACTCAGATCCCTGCTGGATCTGTTGCCGTCATCCTGTTCTGATCTCATCTCGCTGACTCTCTTACTATCGCTAACGTTCATTGTGCCCTTCCTATCTTGGGGTGGACCCAGTAATGCAGTTGAATTCTGAGATGCCTCCGTGCGGTCCGATGCGTCAGATTTCTTCCCATCTATTAATTTAATTAATTATTAAGGAATTACGTATTAATGTGCTGGTGCGATACGTAGAAACTTAATTAGCAGTTAATATTGTAGGACACGTTACGCAAGATTGTTAAAATCAAATTGTTTTTATTTAAAACCGAAGATATGAATTTCTTAGCTTTGTCGAAAGCACGCTTTTATGCGTATGTTGGTTAGTTATTGCATTAGAAATGTTTCATTGATTTTTAGTAGAATTTTTGTTTATCAAAATTTTTAACTTATTCATCTATTCATTCATCGATACATCTAACTATCCACCAAACCCTCTCATTAACCAAAATAATTATTTGAAGTACCGGAGTAGGCACTACTGCGGGCGGCTCTGACGGACAGCGTGCTGGTTGCCGTGGAGGGGTGGAGCGCTATGCTTGATTTTGATATCTGCTCGTCTTTGGATCGACTCACAAGTTGAGGTTTATGTGATTTGATTACCATTTTTGATCTGGACAGACCTTTAGATTTGGTCATATCCTTTGGGACTGTTAGATCTTTATCGAATTTACTTATCTCTCGCGACTTTGTGAATTCTCTTGACATCGACATGCGTGCTTTCTTCCGCAAGATATCTTGGGTTCTTTTTAGCTTTCCTGGACTTTTGTCGGTTTTCGCTCCCTTCGTTAGCAGTCTCTGTTTTTCTGAAACTTAAACGTTGTAGGTTCGACTCAGATATGTTGAAAATATTTGCTGGTGTCGCAAAATATTCGCACAAAAATCACTTGTAGCGTAAACATATTCATTATAGAAAAATTATTAAATTCATATAACACGTGCATAAAATTATTCCATTTTTGAACATTCAAAACTTTGTATTCATTAAGCATATATTTTTATTATTAATTTCTAGTGACTCAATTTTTTAAATCCTTTATACCTTGATGAAGACTGCTGATATCAGAAGACCTGATGGCTATAAAGAAACAAAAAATAAAGAAGCAAGTGCTTAGTATTTGTTGGAATTTAAAATTATAAACTTTGAAATGAAATAAACGTAACTTAGCTATTAAATTGAAAAACTAATGAACAACAAAATACATCAACGTATGATGATTACTTACTCTCCACAGACTGCAAAATAGGTGGAGACTTCTTCTTTGACGGAAGTGTCTTTTCTCTAGATGCTACACATTCGCAATTTTTTTGACAGTTATACAAACTTTGAAACATGTAGTTTAAAAGATACGCGTATACAATTGTCAAAATATCGATTAACAGCTGGTATGAAGCGCTAATATTTGTGGTAGTCTCAGCATGGTGTGGTGAATGAAGCTGCTGATCCTGCTGAGTTTTAGTAGTTGGGTTCAATTTTAAAAGATCTCCGCCTAGCACAAATTATATCGCAATAATTTACACGTTGTGTGTGTTGTTTACATCTCTGAGACTCTGAGGAATGTTGTAAAAGAGCTTGTAAATTAGCAAAATTGGCACAAAACTAAGTAAGCAATCCATCAATTATTTTTCAGTATTCAAAATATTAGGGTTTTAAAAAACAGTGTCGTCTTCACTCCAAGTTATTGGAGACCAAAAAGTGCTTTCCTCACGTGAATTTTGATATTAGATCGGGCACTGAATGGCTTGGATCAAGGAGGTTTTGACATTTATTGGCAAATGCTCATTGAGTGCGTTAATATGCATGCACTTGAAATATTCGACTGAACAAAATTTGAAACCAGTAAATTTTTTCATAAAGTTCGCACGACACTACTTACTTCTTTTCTTCAGCTTCACAACTGTTGTCACTTTAACTGTAAAGTTTTTGAAGTTTCAAACTTCTTAAAATAAAAATTCATTCAAACAAAACTCTGTTAAAACCGTATTGTAAATTAGTTTGAACTCCATAAACTTAATTCAATAATACGAATTATTAAACTGGGTTGTTATCAATCTGAATAAATAAAGTTCAACTCGTCGGAGAAAGCTCATGCAACCTCTGTGCGGGCAGAGGACAGCAGGGCATGTGCGACTGAAGATGGCGACGAAGAGGAAGACAGCAGCCAACGCTCCCAAACAACTGATGGCAATGCAATTCTTTTCAGCGAAAGCTGCAGGAGTGTTTCGAAATTAACTTAATCGTTTGAAACATTCGTTTGTTATCAACGCATCGTATCGTTCACAAAAATTAAATGGTTGTTAATGGGTACATTCAATAAAATTGTCTTACTTTTTTCTTTTTCATTTTTATCTTTAGGCTCTTCAGTAGTCGTCGGAGCAGCAGTCACAACTACCAACATGCACGTCACCAGCAGCCAAACAGTTTTGTTCAACATTCGTGTCATCCGGATGGTCGGGAGCGTGAAAGATTGGGATATTTTTGAGTCAAATATAACAGAGAATTGTGGCCTGCTTCGTTGCTTGGTTATTTTTTTAATCGGCTTTACTTCACGAGATGATGTTTCGGTATTTGAGGATGTTGGATCAAAAACTGGTGCTCTTGAAAGTGTTGACTGCCTTGGCTCAGGTTCAACAGCTGATACACACTTTTTAATTTGCTCTCCATAATTTAGTCGTTCATTTAATTTTTCATCAATTTTTTTAAGTTTGGACGAAGCTGATGTATTCTCGAAGTAATTTATCATCGGTTGTGGTGGAAAAGTTCGTGAATGTTCATGGTAAATTTTTAAGGGAGGTTTTGGAGTTTGTTCATTTGGATTGGGGTCGATACTTTCAATAACCTGATACACGTTTTGATCGTTAGTTTCAAGTGCAGGCGTTGTTTCAAATGTTGAAAGTGTTTCGTTGACGTTTGAAAACTTGAATGCCACATCATCCATATTTTGACTCGGCAGTAGTTGAGTGAGTGTTTGTTGTTTATGAGTGAACGTTAGTTAATTTTTCATTATTTCAAATGTTGACCAAACATCGAATAAAACTGAAATTTTAATCCTGTTGTTTTTGCTGAAAAGTGAAACGAACCGACCCAACAATGATGTTAATTGAAAAAATTGAGATTTTTTGAAAATTATTTGAAAAGAACTTTACGAAGACGTACGTACAGTCAGTCTGATAAAGAAATGAATAAAATATGTTTAGTTAGTTAATAAATTCAATTATTTATTTAAAGAAAAAATTTGTATATGTGTGTTGATTGAGAATAAAATAATAACGTCATCGCAAGCTTTTTTCCATAGAAATTATAATAAAATAAAAATTAAAATAATTATTTCAGCCTTACCTTTCTAAAAAAAATCATTTCAAATTCAACTTATACGGACTACATGAATGTAGAAATTAATGAAACAATTGAGTTATGCAAGCATTTATCTATCATTAAATAACCCACGCATCTACTATTTGGTTTTTATGACAAAATAAAATCAAAAATCTGTTAGATTGAAAAATAAACAATAACAAAATCGTGCGTAAATGTTAAAAATGTATAAAAATAATAATTTTGTTTAAAAAATAATAAAATAAAATTTAGCGAAACTGGAAACTGAAGAGCTGATATTATTCATAATTAAATTTTCATGAATATTAATATATTTATGATTTCGTTATTAAATTGGCAATGAGAACCAGATTCTGCAAAGCGCGATCAACTTACAACTTCATCTGCTTTCTTCACTTATGTCTTCTCGGCGACGGTTTCGATAATTGAAAAATTTGCTATAATTTTGTTGTTGCTATTATTTATATTATTATCACTATTATTTTGAATATTAATTTTTTCTTAATTTTAATGACGGCGGTGAATCTAGGGTGGGCCCGTTGTGAGCAGAACTTGTATTAAATGTCAGTAAGACCCATTGTTTTAACAGAAAAGGTACCGTTGTTGACAAAAAATGACTTGTTAAGCCAAAAAACGATCGTCAGCCAGAATTGTAACCCACGGTCGACTTTAAAACATTTTTTCAAATTCCTCCCCCGGTGTCAACATTTAAAAATTTTCAAAATTTAGGCCCTTTGCTAAAGATCCGCCGCTGTCTAAAGATACCAACAATGCAAAGAGCGCTTGTGATGAATTCACGCATGTGATAGACGGAAATCTTTTCGCAATCGAATCCGATCACTTTAACACGAGGACCAGGCACCTTGACCACTCTGCCTGCCCGCCAGCCGATAAATTAAAATTCAAATAATAATTTCAATTAATCTAGTGATTATCATTATCTATTATCTTCATTATTATCAATAATTATCAATAATTATCATTAATTAATATCATTATTATATAATTAATATCATTATTATCAATAATTGAAATTTCCTTCAAAGTCGTTGCGCTACGATTTGAACAGCTGCTACCGATCTATCCGGTCAAAGATGACAAATGTTAAAAGCTTTCTGTTACATTAAAATTTTGCAAATTTTTACAATACTAATCATAATAGATTATTAATATTAATTTTATTATTATTGCTATTGTTTTTATTAATACTATTATATGTTGAAACAGTCGGCATTTTTCAGCTTGCTCAGTTTTTGTATGTTTTAATCAAGTTTTAAAGTTTAAACATTGGTACTTAGGAAGCGAAAAATTACGGTGGTCAACAATTAATTCAATAATTTTAAGTGCATATCGATTTTAATTTTGATTTAAAACTTAATTTTATTAGTTAATGCGGATAAACGCTCATATTGTTTTAAAAACTTTGAAGATCTAAATAAACATTCCTGGCGTTTTACAAAGGTAAAGTTAAACAACGACAATATCCGTACGCACGTGTCTCCAAGGATAATATTGTAATATCTCCAAACATTTTGCTAATGACCTTAATGACATTAGTTCAACTAATATTGAAAATAATTAAACTTTTTGCTATACGGCAAAAACTATAAAGGCAGAAAGGGTCTACGGGTGCACCAACGCTCGTTCAAAATATTTATAAACTTCGTAAACTCTGAAAATTCTGCGGAAACAACAAACAACCATGAGGATAGTTCCAACTCGCAGTCGTCTTCTCCACATCAACGAATATCTTCTTCCCCTCAAAAGCACCAATTATTGACAAGGTAGATGCACCACTTTCCTAGTTAGAGTAGCTCAAAAAAGTAGAGTAGTTAGAGTGGGCTGAAGCTAGTGCATATTTCCATTTGTGGAAGACAAAACTGCCTAACATCGACAACTTCACCAACAGTCAACAAAGTCTACTTCTTATCAAACCATGTGACGTTGAAACCGTAAACAATTTCACCGGTAAATCAAAACAAACCAATCAATAAATTAAAAAAAATTGAAACAACTTACAATTCTTGGCCGTAATAATCAAAAATTTTTATTCTCAAATTTTAGCACTCTGTAAACTAATAAGATCAGAATTGTCTTCGTCGAAAGCACTAAAATTTGGTATGAATTCATATAGTGATAACCCATTAAAACAGAAAATTGTTTAATCGATCAAATGATTTACTAGCCCTGTTCAAGTTCACAAAATGTGAAAATGTTTTCAGAAACATTCTGAACAATGAACTTATCAATAAATTCTACCCGCCAAATTTGATTAGCCGAATCCCTCATTTCCATGCTGTGTCAACCTCTCAAAGTATAATGAAATTTCAGCAATCATACAGCAAAAGGACTTAATATCAATAATAATTTTGAAAAAAATATTCTATACCCCGCACAATTCTCTTTCAATTGAACGTTGGAAATCATCGTCAATCCCAACACGCTGGAAAAAAGGTTTGACAATATTAATTTACAAAAAGGTGACCCCAATAACGCTTCAACCAGACCTTTGTAAAATATTTTAAACAACAAATTATACAATTATTTCAAAATGAATAACTTCACCAATAAAACCAAACAGAAAGATTTTTACCGAAGAATAAATGGTGTAGCTGATCATACACAGTTATTGTTCCATTTGCTGAAAGAAGCAAAGAAGCACCAGAAAACTATAATCGTTACTCTGCTGGATCTCTGAAATGCGTTTGGTGAAGTTAGCCATGATCTCATTTTAGCAGCTCTTTATCATTATCATATCCTACCCCAGATACCATACGCTGATTACTCCATAACTGTATCAGTATGCAACAACCTAACTCGACCCATCGTGGTAAAGCGTGCAGTGCTGCTGGGTGATCCCAGTTCTTCTTTGCTATCCAATTTATGTTTTAATTTTCTAATGGAAATAGGTACTACAACAAATGTGCACATTTGGGATAAGATAGATCGTCGGAAAATACGAGCAAATTTTACCCAGATTGACGGTGACAATCACTCAGACTAGTATTGGTGATCATTTCACTTATATGGGAAAAATTTATGAATTGAATGCAAGAACGCAATAGAAAATGAACTGTTGCATGGTATCTTGAAGTTTTGCTGCATACATATGGTGGTCTGGATACGTCCGTCCAATGGAAGTTTGAGATCTTAAGGCGCTTTGTCCCGACCCAATTAACACATAAACTCGTATGTACGATATTTCATTGACATGGATAGAAATCACACTGGACTGTTTGATCTCTAATCCCGCAAGCAGCTGCGTTGTAAAATTTTTTTGCTGCTTTATAAATCTGGAGGCCTTTGCATAAAATTGTTAAAATGTCATACAGAAGTGGTGAGGCTGAAACTCCATGGTTATTTCATACATACAGTGAAATCAGTGAAAGAACACGTCTTTAGTTCAGAGATTACACGATGTTCCAGATCATCAGTAAAGCTATCCGAAGTCCTCTATAAGTTGTCAAAAAGTACATTATACAACAGCTGCCTACAAATGCCAACCTTCACAGATGGGGATAAACAGACAATGGGTTATGCCAGTCTCTGGCGTGAAACAAAGTGACAAACTCGCCTGTCAAACTGTGGCTCAGCGGCAACACTCTGGAAATACTTGAATCGTCCCAACAAAACTTTTACAATAATCGTCAACAACATCAAGGCATGCGCTGGTTCAAATATCATCAACTTTGCTGATTTGGAAGATAAAGCTACGTCTAGCCACAGATTTGTTCCAATCAGTCAGACCAAACATCGCCATTCTCAGTAAGAGTACAAAGGAGATACTTGAATTTACTATATGCTATGAAAAAAACTTTGTCAAGTCCAGAAAATACAAAATTGTTAAACATACAACCAATCTTAAAAACAACCTGGTGAACGATTTTAAACACTGTAACATTTTAATTAGCACTTGAATTGTCAGCTTTAGGTTTTTATAACCCCTTTGATTTATCATTAACTAAAAAGAATTGGACTGATTGTTTTCGGCATTGCTTGATTAACAGCGTGATACTGTCTTCCTGTGCCAGATATTGTGAAAGGTACAATGCACGAACCAATTTCTATGAACCATTGTATCGTCACTGCACTCATTTCAGAACGAAGAGCATTGATGACTAGCCATTATGATTTTGAGTTTTATTTAAACTATATTTATATTAATTAATTATTTCTAATTTATTTTGATTTATTTGATGAGTAATAATTAATATGTTTCCACTGTTATTATTATTATTATGTTGTTGTTTTTGTTGTTGCTGTTGTTATTAATATAATTATCTCTCATCATTATTTTCATCGTCATCTATTTTATTATTATTATTATTATTTCTCTCTCTCTCTCTCTCTCTCTCTCTCTCTCTCTCTCTCTCTCTCTCTTTCTCTCTCTCTAATTAATAATCTTCAAAGGTATCAAGAAACAGCGCATACAAGATGCATGTGAAATATATGTGAGGATCTACGCGCAGTCGAACCCTGTCCTTGCATTCGCAGCACCAAGCGGCTACTCTAGCGGCTAAGCGACTACTACTACTACTCTATTATTACTACTACTACTAGTACTACCATTAGGCTACCTGGCCGCATGCATGTTTTCAAAAGTTTCTATTCCAGTTAATGTTAACATGTCTTACAATAGATTTTATCGACAGAAAGTTATTCACGTGGGTCAATAATATTCCATCGAATTTTACTTAGCGCGGTGTTTCCGTGGTGCTTTTAAATTTATTCTCAATTTAAGCATTTCACCGCTTTCTAGGAGTGAACCAGTTTTTATAATTTGCAATAACATTTTTAAAAATCTATATGAACAATCAACTAACTCTCAACCAATGAACCAATCGAGCAACCATAAAAACTATTGATCAACCAACTAACCAATCAACTAATCAACCAGGCAACCAATCAACCAACCATCCATTCATCCAACTAGCCAACCTATAAATTAACCAACCTACCAATCAACTATTCAACCGATCAATCATCCATTCAACCAGCCCATCAGTCAACCATCCGACCAATCATCCATCCAACCAACCATCCAACCAACCAATCAATCAACTTAGCATTCTTCTACAATGGTCGGTCTAGCAGCATCTTGTACGTAGATGGCATTGAAGTCAAAACACCCCTTCAAAATCACGAGGAATTCTTCGACGAAGTTTTTTTAGACCGCACACCAAAAGCGGTCGCAATACGCGTTAGTTGGAAGAACTTCTTATATTCTGCAACTAATATAAACACGTCACACACAATTAAAAACTGTTTCAACATTTGATAGCAGAGCATTTTATTGTATCACATTTCTTTCATGTAATCTATTCTACCTCGTAGTAAAAACTTACTGTGCAAACTAACACAACCACCATTCTGTTTACTACTGCTGTTGCTACTGCTGCTGCTACTACTACCACTGCTACTTACCCTATTACTACTACTACTACTCTTCTCCATTACTACTACTACTACTCTATTATTACTACTACTACTACTACTACAACTACTATTACAAGTCTCTAACTACTACTACTATTACTACTACTACCGCTGCTGCTGCTGCTGCTACTACTACTACTACTACAAATCTATCACTGCTACAATTGCTGATACTGAAAGTTATAGCGCTAATTCTTCTTATAAAAATAAATATATCGATAAATTTTTTCGTGTTAAAAATAGAAACATTGTTGTCGTTGTTATTGAATATTGATAATAAAATATTTTTAAAAAATTAAAAAAGAGTGAACAACATAAAAACATTCCAAAAGAAGAACAACAACACAAACACTTACTTGAACATAAACAACACAAACACTCACTTGCAAACAAACAACAACACAAACACTAACATGATGAAAAACAACACACACACAAACACACACACACTTGAAAACAAACAACAACACAAACACTTGCTTGAACACAAACAACAACACAAACACTCACTTGCAAACAAACAACAACAAAAACCCTCACATGATGACCAATCCAATGCCACCCACCTCCCAAGGTCACAACTAGCAGCTCTTCCACCGAGCCCCTGTTAGCAGTCTGGTCGCAGTACGGACAGTTCGACTCCAACTCCAGGTGGAAGTGCACGGCCGAGGAAGTGGCAGATTGGAACAACGTATCTCTCGACACCAGCCTCATTCCGCCTGCCGAAGTCAAATTTATGAATCGGTTCGTACGTTGAAGTTACTTTGAGTTAATCCAGACTCACACACGCATCTCATGCTACCAGTCGTTTCTTGTACACAAATTTAAATGGAATAAGGTATTGAAGTAACAACGTATGTGGAGGAATCTCTAGCTGCTGAGCTGTGAATCAGCGAGAAGGATAACAAAATCGATTGAAACTTTATTTTCAATCTCGGAATGATTCGTTGCTTGTCTTCATAATTTTTTAAGTTCAGCATAATTAACTTTTGCAACAAGAATTAAACTTCTCAAATCAGTAACAATTGTAATTTCAAGTTGAAATTTTAATTAGTTCAAACGAGTTATCGGCAGTTTCATCATCATCATCATATTATTATTATTTTCTCTTGGATAATCTTCAGAGGTCATTACGACGTACGAACACACGCGAATCAACGCACCGCACACTTTTACATGTGCGAGGCGGGGATCTCTTCACATTCGAACCCGGACACTGCATCACCAACGCCAGGCACCTCTACCATTACACCATCGCGCCGTCCGAAACTTAAAACTTTCACAACCAAAAAAATTACACAGGTGATGGCGGACAACTTAGACGGGCCAAAGTTTTAAAAATTTTTTAATTTTTGAAATTATACCGGGGGCCCAATAAACGAACGAATGTTTGTATTAGTGTGGCCAAAATTTTACTGGCGATAATTTTTTGTTCATCACGTTAATTTGTGATCGATTTTACACTTTAAACGGTGTTTCCTAATTTAAAATTTCCTAATTTAAAAACTCAATAATTTTACTGACTGTTAATGAAAGTATAACTCCAATCATGCTTCCTCCCCCCTGAAATAAAAAAAATCAACATAGTAATTGCACTCACAAACACGCACACGCACACGCACACACACACACACACACACACACGTAAAAACGCATATACAAACATACACACATAAAAATACAAACACTCACAAAGACATACACACAAACATGCACACACATAAACATACACACACGCTCACACAACACACACACAAAAACATACACCCGCACACAAACATACACA